CTTTTAGTTTCCGTTTGTACACTAAAACTAAATAAGTTTCGAAGCTATAAACTCTAGTTGTATAACTTACTTTAACCGTTGCTTTCGCTACTCTGAACGGCGAAGCTACCTCTTTGGCCGCAACTTTTAGTTCAAAGCGTGAATGATCATACTGAGCCATAAGCTGGACAGCTGTGATGTGACCATCACTCGATATATTGAAAGGAGATGGTACAGGTCGCACACTGCCAGGAACACCAGGACGGAAAAGTCTGATGGCATCCAGTCTGTATTCAAATTTTCCATTGTTTCCAACATCAGGATCCATGGCTGATACAGTAGCGACGAGATCACCAACTTGGGTGGAAGTTTTAATGCCTGAAAAGTACATTGAAAGTTTAGTTAAAATAAAGTAATAAAACAACATGGAGTTTCTTTTTAAAAGGAAAGTTTGTTAATTAAAATAAAAACCCACAGCATGACTCCACTTTAGAATACATAATTAGAATACAATTTTCTTTATACGAGTAACAACAATTTTGTTTATTCGACTCACTGATCTTTATTCTCAAGAAAAAGAAATTCCGTGTTGGAACTGATGATTATATTTTATTTTAAAACAAACGCTGAACAGCCAACAAATTATTAGATTAACGATTATCAATGAGCCACAATGGCTCAGTGATTAAGGCACTAACTGTTATTTTTAGGAACTGGAATTCAAAACCCAGTGGCGGCTTGAAGCCATTCCAGCTTCAGATCGATGGCTACCAGCTTGTGCGAGAAGTAAAGGCGGAATGTGGGCAGTGATAACCACATTACCATAACCGTATCATTGGTCACGAAACTGTGGAGCTACAACCTCTATGGTCTCCATGGTCAAATAGAATTATTTTCGTAAGTCCCCTCAAAAACTTGTTTGATTGCATTATATGAGACTTTAAGTTTATCGAATCCACATTGCTGCTAAATCAACTAAATTAAAATAGCAAAAAATTCTCGCAATTGAATCAGCAATTTACCTGCAAGATAAGGATCATTTAAGAATCTTGGCGTATTGTCATTCACATCAGATATGGTGATGCGTACAAGGGCTAGTGATAAATCTTCTTCTCTATAGCTTCGCGAGGCTGCAGAAAATCCCTGCTCTTCTTCTCTCTAAAAATAGAAACTTAATCAGTAAAAGCAATACATATTTATCAATAAGTCTCAACATATTTTAAATGAAACACATACCTCATAAACAATATAATCTGGATTACTGGTTGCCTTAACAACTATTTCGAATGCTTCTCTTTCTTCCCTGTCGAAGGATGCATTAGATTTGATTGTTCCAGTTGTTTTCTCGACAATGAAATTTCCTCCAAAATTCCCATCTGTAAAAATTGATACCACAATTTTAATCAACACAAAGATTTAAGATCAAGATTGAATTAATTTGTAATGCAAAATTAAGGAGATTATTGAAATTCTGATTATCTTAACTCTACATCAATGCAATTTAATTTAACTCTGATGGTGGGTGGGGGGTATCCGGGGAACCTTGGAGTTTGAAAATGCGCACTTATCAGTACAAGAAAACGAATACATTGTGATGAACAAAGGAGGCCTTCAAACGAAGCTTCCCTGAGAGTACCAAGATGTAAAGATGTGCTGTTTACAGAGCTCCAAGCTACAACTAAAAAATGTTCCGTAATATAAATTTACAGAGGTTACATTTATATAAATCCAGATAAATATTTTTATCTTCAGAGGAGATTAAAAATTTGCTTGGGTTAAGGATTGTTTCATACCAGGGCAGTCCAACTGCAAGGAGCCCACGGGCCAGAATTCCGGTCACTGATCACCTGGCGGGCCGCAGTTTGAAAAAGTTGAACAATACTCTCTTACTTCTTATACAATAATAATTAATAGTTGAATTATTAATTATAAAACAACGGAACAGAAGGATTATAAAACAATTTGCTTACATTTTAATGGGAAAACTGAGATCGATCAGCCTGAAAAAGAAGTTGGCGGGTTGCACAATATGTGTTTGCGGGCCACATGCGTCCGCGCGCCGCCAGTTGAACAGCCCTGTTTTATACCAATACCTCCTAGAGGAGAGAAAACCTTCGCACGAGTTACTATAACCGATCCCTTTAGTAGCCCGAGCATTAGGACATTTTTGTTGCCCCCCCCCCTTGATCATGCAGTTTAGAAGTCTGAACGTTGCGACATCTTTCCTATTTCTCCCCAACCACTGCGTAATTTAATAGCCCAGACGTTGTGACATGTTTCTTAATTTCCCCTACTGCGTAGTTATGTTCGTTACGTCTGACTACAAAATTGACCAGTGTGGAGGACTTCGCTCTTTAAGGAGGTGTTGCTTATACTCAGTAGAAAACGATTGTAAGAATACAATTATCTAGTTGCCTTCTTTACGAAAACCAAGCATGCTTTTTTTGTTTGTTACCACAATGCATAATTTTTGCAAATCACTGTTCGAGAAATAAAATTTAGAAGCCTAAATTTGCTACATGTAATTACAGTTTTAGAAACATCAATTTGCATGATGATATGTATGTTTCTTTCGGCTTGACTTACATGGCAATCCATGTTTAAACAACTAGCCAATTCCTGTAAAATGTAAATCATAAAAGTGTTTTGAAGTTGTTATTTGAAATTTTACAATGCAAAGAACAGCCAAGAATGTTTCTCTCCTTTGATTTACAGAGATTGTACACTCAACATTCACGTTAATACATTTACGTTGGTTTAAATCTTAAAATTTTCATAATATGGTAACTTACTTGTCAATAACAGAAATAAATGAATTACTATTTTTTCAAAAGAAGTTTGCATAACGATATATTTTGTAAAAATTTGTTTATCTTTAGTCGGATTAATATTAGTTAAAAAAAAAGTTAAAATTCTTGTTCTTGAACTTACCTACAATGTAGTAGTAAATTAAAGCATTTTCCCCAACATCTTTGTCTTGAGCATGAACTCGACCAATAGGAAAATTGACTGGCAAATTCTCTTCTAGCGTAAATACATATGGATTGGTGGTCTACAAAATAGCACAAAACACTTAAGACATAAGGAATCTTAACTTTAAAATTACTTGGGAAAAACATAGTAAGCATGAATAAAATGAATAAAATAAATAAGTACAGAAGACTGTTGGTTATTTCGGTACTTATTGCAAATTCGATGCGAGTGTTTCCGGGCTGATGAAATGAACTTGCTTGCAATATTAACAAATACGTAAGCTTTATGTACAATTACGTATTGGTCATTTGGCTGCCATTGCTACTTTACTACCAACAGAAAGATTACTAAACTTTTTTTTTATTACTTATAGTTATTTCTTCCTGCTGATTCTGAATTATTCGTTGTCAGATATTTTGCAAAACCATTTCATATTAAAATACTTTTGAAACATCTGATGCTTTTAGTTTCCGTTTTTTAACAACGGCACTTCATACCAGTTGTATGTATGCTGCTCTAAACCTAATTACAACATGCCTACATAATTAAAAGTAAATAAATTGCTATATTCAAAAAAAAAATTTATGTTTTATAGATTTTAAGTTTTTATTTTATTTATTTATTTATTATTTTTTTTTGTTGCTTTTTATATTACTCCTTGTATAAAGAAGATAAGCATAATTACCTGAGTGCGGGGAAATTCTGGACTGTTATCGTCCACATCCATGACAACAATAGTTAGAAATCGAAGAGACTCGAAAACAGTTGGAGAGCCATTATCTCGGGCAGCTAGAACCAACTAAAACAAAAGAAAAGAAATTCGTCATTAAATTAAAATTATTTGCTAAAGAAAACAAATAGCGTTTTTTGCACATCGTGAAATACGTTTAATTAAGTTAAATTGTTTATTTTAGTTAACATGGAACATTTAACATCGCAAAACTTGGACTAATATTGACTAAGCAACAAATTTTCAATGAGATGAATATAGCTGATTCCTGATGAGTTTAATATGCTGATCGCAAATATGAAAAAGAAGTAATTGGATTGGTTTTTTTTAAATTTTGGTAACGCATTGGCATTGTTTGGAAAATTAAGCCGCTTAATCTGATCTTGAGAAGGCGCTTAATCTGATAAACCGCAAAATCGCCTTCTTTAACACTGGAAAGACTGAAATACCTATATTGCCTAAAAGCAGTCAAAATGGCTGGATTGTGAAAGAATGACTAATGTGTAAAGAAATTTGCTTAAAATAAATTTTTTTGTATTTTTTGTATTATTCGCAGTTATATAACAAGCTAACAGTAAATATTAACAATAAAAAAATTATATGTTGTACAAAAAGTCACAAATTTCTAAGAAATTGCGTCATCATTGTTTTTCTAATTGAAATTAAAAAGCAGTCAAAATGATTTCCTTGGGCAATCTAGAGTTAATTTTAGCTTCATTGAGTCGAGGATACTATTTTTTGCCGAGTGTATAATATGATGCATATACGTATTGCATGACATTACAGCATTTTTTTAATGTAAAAAATTTAGTTTTTTTTCTGTATGATATTCGAAATTCATCTTAAATATATGCATAGGTCTCACTGAAAAGGTAATTTTCATTGTTGCCCCAGAACAGCGTAACTAATGTAGAAAAGTAAATGATTTTTATTTTTTAATTTGATACCTGGTATTTTGCATTCTCTTCTCGATCCAAAATGGCCTTAGTTCGAACTTCGCCGGTGACTGGATTTATCCGGAAGTGTTCTGTTTCTTCAACATTCGTGTCCCCAACTTTGAGGTAGTAAGAAACACGTCCATTTTCTCCGCGATCTTTGTCTTCAGCTGATACTATCATTACAAGAAAGTCTGGAACGCTTTGGTTCTAAAATAAAAATAATAACTCATGATTGAGTTTGTATGGATAATTTTATAACAAGCACCATTTAATTTCGAATTATTATAATGAAGATTAGAGACTGAACTAAAAGAGAAAGAGAGATTATGAAAAGATTATGATAATTAAAATGAGAGTGAGCTTCGATTATTTTAAATAATGTGTGTCAACATGTTTCAAGAGCTTAAAAAAGGGCACCCATTGTGGGTGTTACATATCGAGGGTTATTAGCTATTTCTATATTTTTGAAGCGAATGAAGTTCTTAATCAGGTAACGGCTCTAGTTTCTTGGGATTATTTATTTAAAATGTGGGTCAGTTAAAAAAAAGCGATAGACGGTCATAAGAAATCATAGCTTCTTAATTAAATTGTTAAGTCTTAAATTAAATTAAATTTAAAATAAATTATTCTGAATTAGATTAAAACTATTCGTAATTAAACTCAAATATAAGCGATTGCTTTAAAATATAATATAAATCAATAGCCAAATACGAGAGATTATATTAAACGAAGCATCATAATTGATATGAAACTGGAAGCGAGAGGTCGAAGAACTCTTCAATAACCTCGAAAATAAAAAACCGTTTAATAAAGTTATATTTAAGGTAATTATGTAACTTTTAACACTTTAAAGTACTTTTAATAATCACCTTAATTTGAGTCACAGAGGATCATATTAAGCAGAATAATTTTAAGTGCCGAAACCAATAATAACCAAAGGTGGTTAAATAATTCTTGAAAAATATCATCTAAAAAAAAACCTTTATTTCTCACAAAAATGTATTTTTTTTAAAGTGTTAACTTTTTGGAATTGTTTAATTTACATATTTATTACAAACTTTTAATTTCTGAGTTTAAAGTTAGGTAGCTGAGTATAATGTAAAATTTTTATGTCGAATTCAAAAATATATATTTTAAGCATTTAAATGTAAGTAATAAAAAAGTAATAATCAAGCATTAAAATTCATGTAACGTTTTTTGGCATAAAACTAACCTTAAATGTAAACGAGTTTCAAAAATGTGTGACTTTTTTAATTATCTTTTAGTGCTCTACACATATTGTAGGGAAACACAATAGTGAACACAAATATGTCCAGCAAATATTTTTTTAAAAGAAAATAAATAGAACACATAAGAGTTACCTCTGGTATTTCCACTGTTGCGTTTGGTGTGGCTGGAACAATGAACTTGGGTTTATCTTGATTGATTTCTACGATTCGAACATGAACAATAGCTTCGTCCATACTTGTCCCATCATTAATATTCTCTGCTCTAACTTTCAGTTTGAATGCTTTTACGTTCTCAGGCAATTCTTTTTTTGGATAAATGACTCCTGATTCTCCATTCATATCAAACACACCTATTTCGTGAGTTAATATCTTAAATCATTGCATCTTGCAGAATATATACTGGGTGAATAGTACACAATGAGGATAGTATACAATAAGGATTATAAATGAAATACTTAATAATAGAATCAAAAAATTTCATTAGAGATAATAGTAGCTTGTTTAAAATTAATTATCAACCAATATTATCCGAGTTCTTTAGCCCATTAACAGCATTTTCTGAAACTTTCTTGATGAGGAAAAGAAGTCACTGTTTAAGTGCCTTACATTTAAGGCAAAGCTATAATTTTAATAAAACAGATTTTTTAAATCCATAGCCCACCCGTGCTAACATTTTGTCAATTCAGGCATTTACAGGGCAGATTTGTTGGCCACTCTTTCAGGGGCACCATATTAGTTGGGCCAGTGTTGCTCCCACAGTAAGAACAGACAGTACAGAGTAAAAACAGACAGAACAGAGAGCATCCATGCCTTACCTGGGATTCGAACCCAGAACCCGTCTGAAGCAAGGCAAGTTCCCTGATCCCTACACAGTCCTCTCGGCAGAACTCTCTGTCTCTCTAATCATCATAAAAATATTTTTTTTGGTATGAAAGCGAACGTTTGTTCATTCATATGATAACTAGTCATGTGAAACCGCATAACCGCACATCTTCCAATCACTACGTGTTTCTATCGTCGCGATTTCTTTTTGTTAATGAAAAACTGAAATAGATTCTGGAACAAAAAGAACAACAGGCAAAGCATTTTTCAAACATTGGTAGTTACAAATTGTCATCAAACTGGCAAGATATCGTAAGGGTATTTCACTTTCTAAAGGGACACATTTTTCAGTTATGCCAAATATTATGGACTATGATTTAAAAAAACATTTCGTTCAAACATTTGAATTATAAATAGTTTTTCATACAAAAAGCTTCTTTGTAATCATCCATACGTACCTTTATCGTTTCCAGATACAATGCTGTACAGTATCTTAGCATTTTCTCCAATGTCTTTATCGTCAGCTGTGAGTTGTAGTACAGTGGAAGGAGGCGATACAGGTAGGTTGGATACTACTGAGGCTTCGTACTCCCGCTGGCTGAATACAGGTGGATTGTCATTCTGATCTTCAAGGGCTATGTACAACTAAGGACCAAAATATTACTGTAAAACTCCAATTTTCATTTTTAGAAAAAAATAGAAAAATATTTATATTCCTTTTTTTTTACTCCTAACAACAATTTGCATTGATCTGTATATCAGTTATGTTTCAAATGAAAAATATTCAGATAGAAAAAAGGAATTTGTAATTAAAAAATATTTTTAGACTATCATATACTCATATGCTTTCTAAAAGGAAGCATATGAGATAATTGTAAAAGTCCCAATAAAATGGTTAAAATATTTTGTTTCTCTTTTTAATTTATATTTTAACCTTTTTCCTCGCTTATATCCCATATTCATTAATTTAAAATAAAATTAAAAAAAAGACAGGCGTTGCTTCTAGATTCGTATTATTAAATCATTTTTAAATTCCTCCAAATAATATTACAACGTTCATTAAAAAGAACTAAAATTATTGGCATTATAACAAGCTTGGGAAATGCTTAATAAAGAGTAAGCTCAAGTTCCATTTAACTGTAAATTAAGACATACCGGTACAGATATGGCTCTCCTAGTGTTGGTGTCCTGTCCTTGGTCAGTTGCAACTACTTGGAGTGTGATAGAAGCTGTAGTTTCTCGATCAAGATTAGCCGCTGCAGCCACTCGAATAATTCCCTGGGATATCATATAAAAATTATCATTAAAATGAAAAAAAATACAATGTGATTAACTAACATCATCCTTGGCTAATACACATTTTAAAAATTCTTGTGAAGACACTTTGCATAGAGAGTAAAGGTAAAGTAAAACAAAAGTGACAAAAGGTGGAAAACAACATTAAAATAATATTTAGTCAAATGAAACTGAAGTACAGTTCTTACTTATAGGGGAAAGCATATAAAATGCTTTTGATATTTTTAATTCCACTTTCACTTTGATTAACCTTGGTAATGATTCGTCATATATGACGAATGCATATGTTTTTTTTTAAAAAAACTCATTTTTGATGAGGATTTTCATATATTAGAAGCGGTTCTTATGTAACACATTGAATAGTCTAAAGCAGTAAATGCTAAGCCGTCGATCACTACCTTCTAGTGGCTCGTGGGAAAATTTTCGATAAATCGCTATTGTTCCTGTTGTCTAACCTTGATTCCTCAATTAATGTGAACTTATTGATTACAAAAAAAAAATGTTGCATTCTTAAAGTTAATAAGTTTGATAAAAGATCTGTTATTACATTTGTTATTTATTACCAACTATGCTTCAATTTCTTTCTTATATACAGTTCAATTCCAGTCTGTTTTGTTATACACAGTTTAAATTTGATTTCATATTACCAATTGAAGATTTTCTTTTTGAAAAAAAATTTGATTGGTAGTAGCTTGCAGTAGGATTTTAAGAACGGTACTCTTGTAGCTCAGGAGCTACATGAGTTTTGCGACCACTGGTCCACACTGTTAGAAATCTCCCGGAAAAAAATGGTTAAATAACAATTTATTTAATTTTATTTCACCATATTCAAGTAAAACAGTCAAATAACCACAAATGGGACAGTATTCAAACTGTTAACTGTGAGAAAAAAAACATTTTATTAACGGCTTTCACCTAATACGGTTAAACAACCAGATTTTTATTGTACTGACCAGACCCACCTAATAAAGCTACTTAGCTCATTGCAAATGGGTACATATTATAATAGAGAGGGCAGTCAATGTCATGACCGACAGAACGGGAGTTTGAGTCCCAGATTTGACGCCACAACATTTCCTCCGTTCTTTTCAACACAAGAAAAGTTTCCAGTGTCTTGCACTCTCCAATTTGTGACCCTTGGCTGTTTGAATACGATTCACTCATTCAAACATAGATGACAGCACTATAAATCTACTAAACTATCTCTAATGTCCAGTTAATTTTTTATGTTTTTTTTAAAACTATGCTGGTTGTAAATGGTTAAAAAACTACATAAATTTGTATTCATGGTTTTTTTAAACATAATAATCGTAAACTGCATCAAAACCGTAATGGTAAAAAAAAATGTTGTTTACCGTAAAGTTTACTGTTAATTGGATGGACAGACTGCTGCGGGTTATTTTAAAATAACTTTAGAATGAAAATTGTAACAGTGTAAAGCATATGAATTGTAAAGTATATGAAACGTTAACAATTCTTACCTTTTGATCAATTGTGAAGTCGAGACTTCTCTCGCCAAGGAGCGAATAACGAATTTCGCCAAAGTCATCGGCATCAGCATCTATTGCTCTAACTTGTATAACACTCGTTCCTTGAGGGGAATTCTCGGCCACCGCTGCATGATAAGAACTCTGCAAATAAATTCAAACTTACTTCATAGTTATTGGGAGTTAAAGAATATTCTTGACTCAATATTTACTTTTTTCAATACATTTGGAAATATTTTTACAAGAGAATGAAGAGAAAGTTGGGACATTTTTTACTGATCCCTCCTACTTGTTGTTCTCTAAAACATTGTATAAAGTTTAACCGGTCAATTAAGTGATAAAACATTTCTGTCATACATTGTGTCGGCATAACGCTATACGCCTAAATCATTCAACAAATTTCCTTCATGAAACAGCGTAAGTAACCACTGACACTGTTGTCGGAGGATGAGCCGATAAAACTAATCAACCTGGTTTGTTACCTTTGAAGAAATAATAATCGTCTTAGATATTCTTGATTTGTCCCAACAAATCAAGAATATCTAAGGCGAACAAATTTAGTAAGCGAATGTTATTATTTTTTTTTGGAAGTATCAGATAAGTTTGATAGTGCAAAGAAGGGCATGGTATAACATGAATGGTCGGGCATTATGATCGAATTAAACCATCTCTACAAAGTCATGCATTACACAGAAAAAACAGCGCTTTAGTCCTATTAGCAACTGATTAAAGAGTTGTCCAACCAACGGTGAAGATCATATACACAGCCTTTTTTTAGAAAAAGATTTAATCATCAAACTACTCATTACAGTCTGTATTTACGAAAAACTAGCTGTAAGTAATTAACAGCAGGCGCTTAGTTGATGACCACAGTTGTAATTTTTTCCACCCATACATAAAATTAACCTAAATAGTTAAGATATTTAGTAACACACTTTCTAAATTAGATGATTTTAAATTTTTGTATCACGCTAACTGAATTAGATGCTCTGAAATTCGAGTATTACACTTATTAAAGTTGTGTTATCCCTTATGAATTTAATCTAATTTTTTTTCTTGTGTTCAATTCTTTTTTTTCTTTCAGACGATTAATTTTATTGTTTTATATAATTTTTGTGTCTGTGAGAGTCAATATTAAACTTGCTAAGTTTTTATCCGTGATTAATTTAAAATGTATATTAAAACTCAATTAACAAATTTAAACTTATACCTTCAAATGAAAAACTTAATATCAAAATAGTGTGGATACATTTAAAGTATTTTTCAACATTGCAGTGCAAACAAACGTTTGTATAATACCATGTATAATATCATTGTAATTAATTAACAGCAGGCGCTTAGTTAATGACGACATTTGTAATTTTTTCCTTCCAATATATAAGACCTAAATAATTAGATATTTCGTAACACACTTGATGATTTTAAATTTTTGTAACGCCTTCTAGAATTTGATGTTCTGTAATTCGCGTATTACACTTGCTGAAGTTGTTTAATCCCTTATAAAAGAAAATTTCTGGTGTTAATTTCTTTCAGACCATTAACTTTCATGTTCCATGCAATTTTCATATCTGTGAGAGTCATTATTTAACTTGTTAACTTTTTTTCGATGTTTCATTTAAAATATACATTGAAACTTAATGAATAAATTTAAACTTATTCCTTGAAATTAGTGAGGATACATTTAAAGTATTTGTCACCGTGTAATGCAAGCAAACGTTTAAACATATAATATCATTTTTATTATACCATAAAGCTTTTACATAAGCTTAATAGAAAGTTTACGACGAATATAAGAAAAAAGTCATTTCCACATTTACCTTATCAAACATAGGGTCATTGTCGTTAATATTAATGATCTTTGCCATGATGAGTGCTGAAGCTGACATCTGTGGCATACCTGTATCATAGACCACTACTTTGAAATCTATTTGATGCACTGATTCGTAATCTACACGGCTCTTTACAGTTACGACGCCTATAATTTAAAAACAAAAATACAATGACAAAAATATAATGAAAAATACAATGATACAGTGAATCATATTTTATGATATTTAGTCAATTTGAGCAGGAGACAAATTTAGCTGCACTCTGCCAGGAACTTGATTTTGAAATGAAGAATTGGTTGATAACAAAAATTAAATGAAATCGGAAAAAATTAGTGTCTTTTGGGAATAACTTCCTTTCTGAATGGAGTCAGTATTACTAGCAACGAGTAAGGTAGTCTGACCTAATATTGATTCCTTATGCTATGGTTTTCTTTTCTTTTCTTTTTTGTTAAAAATAAAAGTTATTGTTTATTGATACCTCGTCCCGCCCTATTCAGGGCACACGAGAGTAGAACAAACATTCTACAGACAAAACATACATAAAACATAAGTAAAACACATAAAATTACAACAAGAATAAATGGCTTATACAGAGAATAAAAATAAAAGTTATGTTTAATTTTAGTGTTTTTTAAATAAGTCAACTGAAACTGAACCACAGTTACCACACTGTTGCACCCGTACTGGATTTTTTTCATGAAATTGTTTGAAATTTAATTATATTCGATTTTCGAGCTGAACTGTTTATTTCGATAATTAAGAAACGACCTTCCTTTCGAAACGCACGGAAGAAGCTATTGCCATCGAAATGGCCGTGGTGAAATTGAAAATTTGAAATCACTCGATTTTTTTATTATTTATACTGACAAGGCAAATTTACAAACAAAAAGATAACAAAAACTTGCAAAAAAGCAATAGAGATGACAAAACAGAATTGACCGAAATCTTTGCCTTAAAAATTCTCTGGTCTGACAATAAAGCACCGTTTTAGGGTTGCCTTTAAGAGCTGCACTTTAACGGAAGTGGTGTCTGTTCATAGGGTCATTAGAGTTACAAAGGGAACAACAAGGGCTTGGAGAACATTTGAATTCGGTGTAGGTGTTCTGCCAGACAGTCATGCCCAGTTAGTAGACGGAACAGGAGTAGAGCGTATCATAGTGGACAGCTGGTAATTTTCAAAAGATCTTCAACCCTCCAACGTTTCGAGTCTATTCTGTCATGAATTTGTGATTTGAAATGCCTATGGATTGTTTGCTTGATATATAGCTTTATAGAATGAGGTGAGAGCGTTGAGAATCTGATTTGAAGAAGTCTCGGGCCCTTTTTTGTCCTCTCGTTTCCCCAAAAATCCCGCAATGATCAGGTATCTATTAAAGTATAGCACGTTACATTTTTAGACACAACTCTCGCAAATGTTTCCAACACTATTGCTTTTGATGATGGCGACTTAGTTGAATTAATCGCCTGGATTGCTGGTTGGGAATGGCCTGAATTTTCGCGAACGAAAATACATAGTGAGAAATGAAAATTAAGATGAAGATTTTGTGAAAAAATTTATAAGTTCACACATAAAAGATAGAAAGCGAAAATTATAGAAATTTAGGAACAAAAACGCAACGATGAATTAGAAAATAGAAAGAAAGAAGAAGCTGAAGTAATAAATAAAAAGAACTCAAGGAAGATAAAAAAAACCCTAAGGAAGAAAAAAAACGCAAGTATTAAATTTCGAATGAGAGAAATTGCGTCTGCAAAATGAAGCAAAACGTAGCGAAACGTTGATTTTGGTAAGCAATGGTTAAATTTTTACAATTTAGATTAAATAAGTGGTTATTTATTTATTAAGCTTGAAGTTTAAAACAATTCCAGTATGCATGATTTTGAGTAATTTATTGTTAATTTTTTATTGTTGCAATTACGTGTTTCATGTGTTTACACTTTTATTATTGTGCAGTTATATGTTTTATTAAACACAATCTCATAACTTGGATAAAGAGTGTTTTATCAGGATGGTTGTTTAGTATTTGTTTTAAATCACAGATGGCGGTGGCGTAGTTCTTTTTGAGAATAACCTCTTTCCTAAAAAGAGCCAGACTGACCGGCAACGAATAAGATTGCATGAGATTGAGTCTTTATGCTACGATTTTTCTTTTTTTCAAATAATAGTTGTTAAGTTGTCGAGTTTCATTTTAGTGTTTTTTATTTTTAAATAAATCCATAGAAACAGAATCACAGTCATTTCGCAGTGTCAAAGGGTAGTAACGTATTTTTATGAAAATGGAAAAAATCAATTTCGTGAAAATTTCGCAGCCTTGGTATGACAGAAATGAACTGCATGTGATATGACATAAAACTGCCAGTGTATTCTTGAATTAAAAATAAATACTTTAACATACCTGATGTTTGATCGATATGAAAGAATTCGTTTTCAGGTTCAATTCTGTATTCTGCAATATTTGAATCAGGATCTGTAGCAACAAGTGTAGTCACAACGCTTCCTTTTGGTTGTTCTTCCATAGCATTGATGTGTATTTCAGGATTTTCGGGAATCCAAGGGCGAGAAAAAGTTGGCGGAAAGTCATTCAAATCGATGATTGTCACAACCAGAGTACCTAAAAACAGAAATACTTAACTTAAGTCAGCTCAGTAAATAGACACCCTAAAGAGCTATCTTTACAAATGCGGTAAAGAAAGTTTGTTTAACGAAGTATAAAGTTGTTAAAGTGTTATTTCAGTGCTATTTTAAAGTGTTAATCTGATAAGATGTTTGTTTTATTCTATTTAATTAAAAAAAGAAAATCCAACTAATAGAGATATAATCATTCTCTTGTTGGATCTTAAGTGCTATTCTTAAATATTTTTTAAAAAAGGATCCTTTTTTCAAATACAAGTGCATTAATTAACTTTAATTGATAGTTTATTCTGAAATATTTTATTATATGAATAAACAACTGAGAATTGAAAACGCTGCAAGTGACCAAAAAATCATCTTTTTTTTAATGTAAAAACTGTTTTTTATGTAAAAAATGAACTAGAGAATACTTGAAGTTAGAAACTTGATCGCATTCTGGAAAGACTTTTTGGTTTAGCGTCTCTCACGAAAAATAAAATAGGAAGATAGTCACCTACATTTTAAACTGTTAATTAAGAATACAAAAGTAGTAAAATGGAAAAAACATTCTAAGTACCGAAGTGAGAAGTGGCTGTAGCAATATTGTGGAAAGATTTTAACATTTATCCGTAAAATAATCAAAATAAATGTTTAAGCAAAAATAGTTTTATAATAATTTTGTTTATGAGGAAATTTGAATTAATTTTATTAAATGTAATTTAAATTTATTAAACAGAACGAAATGTATTCAAATTTTTCAAGTGTTTGTTAATAATTTGGATGATTATTTACTGATTTCCTGTTTATATGTGGAACTAGGTACTTGCACTTCAAGAAGAAGATCACAGATACACACACAAGTGACCTATGACGTCAGCGTCAGCTGATTGCTTATAAGCGAAATGGCGAGTTAAAGTTGAGCGAAGTTTCTCCACATAAGTTAGAATTTTAATTATTTAAATACATCGAGTTTGAGAATACATCGAACATCGAATTTGTTGAAATATAACACCTTCTCGTCTGCGTCTTTTAATTAACTTAGATTTATTATTTGTTCATGTATTTTATTGTAACCGTGATATATTTGTGTCACTGGCAACTTCTATGCATTATTAGTTTATTTGTGTTCAACATGACATTGCCTGTGTTTGTGTTAAGTAAGAAATATATTGTGAAAGAATTAAAATATTTGTGAAGGAATATAGAATGTCTCACTCACGAGAACTGATTGCTTACTCGAATACAACGGAAAGAACACTTGCTAACGTAAACAAATGCTACGTTCCAACAACCAATCAAGATCGAGATACCCACACTACGTCACTTGCCGGTAAAAAGTTGTTTAGTTTTCCCATAGCAATTTTTTTTTAAAAAAAAGTTGTTTTCATCCTCACAATTCCACTGCAAGAGACTAGTGTGGAAAAGCTATAGGGCTAGATTGAACAAACTTGGTAACCTATTAAGTAGTCGCTTATTACAATTTAGAAAAATATACATAGGTAATAAAAGATATATAGAAATATACATCAAACGAAAACGCGAAAAAGTTTCAGTGTAAATAAATAAGCATTATTTGCTTCTACGAGATGTAATTTGAATTTCTATCTTAATTATAAGAGAAATCTGTGAATCAATTTTAATAAAAATTTTACATTTGATGAAGAAATAAATAAAAACATATCTTTTACAAAAACAATTAATTATAACATAAAACATAACATAATCAATTTATGAATCATTAAAAAATTTAAAATGAAATCAAATAATGTGATTTCTAATGTAAAAATAATAATGTAGATATACTTTTTTATTGTAAAACTGTATTTTACAAACCAGAAAATATTGATTCTATTATTTAAAGAGAAAAATTCGTGTTTAAGATTTTATTGAATGCAAATAATTGCATCAAAACCGATTCAAAACTGTCTGAAAATTGTGTCAATTTGATCTACAAGTAGATTTGAGAATTAACAATAAATCTTCCAATTAAACATAACTTATAGAGTAAGAAAATTTTGAAAAAGAATTATACTCATAAAATACCTGTTCCAGTTTGGGGAGGCGTAGCACTAATATCTGTTACCACAACAGTCATGGTGACGATGGCGGCCATTTCTCGATCAAGTCGGCTCGAGACTCGAACTTCTCCAGTTTCTGGGGCAACATCAAAGAAAGCCTAGTTTGATGATTAGATATACAGATTTAATACACCAGGCAATTGATGATGTCATTTAAAATGTATTAAATTCAACTAGACTAATGTTAAATACTGCACTAAATCAACAGAAAATTGTTAAAGCGATAATATTCGCGATGGCTGGTTGATACGAATTCCGTAACCAGCTTGCACCGACCATAGTTTCAATACCTTCAATTTTCAAGTCAGCAATTTTCTAGAACTGAACTCAGAAAATTTGCTTTATAAATGGATGCATTAACTTCTGTACCATTGCTTCATTCAACCAGATAATTTTTTTTTTATAGAACTCCCAGAATGCACTGAGATAGCAAAATCGTAAGGGAGCTGATTTAGTCAAATATTTGACAGTTCTTAGTTTATTAAAAAAATAAATAAAAAATAAAGAGATCGTGTGATGATATGATGAACAGAAATAATGAAATGTAACTGATGGATAAGTGAATTATCAAAAATGAGAGATTGCTGAGAATGTGACTGAAACAGTAGATACAGATGAAAACTAATAGAGAAATGATAGAATTATCTTTGACGTATTTTAACTATTTTATTGATGAGGAAAACTATAAGATTTTTAACCTTATATCCAGATACTTGTGAGGGCAACTGTCTTCCATCTTTGTCAGTAGCAGTGATTGGTTCTGAGATGGCATACACTAAAGAATCTGGACTGCTAATATCAGGATCAGCTGCTTTCAGCGTATAAAATACGTGTCCCTCATTCTGATCTAAAAAAAAAATATTTCATACAAAAAAAGTTTTAATTCAATCTCTATAAATTGCTAAAGAAATAAAAATACAGAAATTCTACTATACAATATAGAGTTGGTAATAGGAATTACTGTATCCTGAATTTGAAATCAATAAAAATTCAAATTGCTTCACTGTCGAAGATTTTGCAAAAACATAAATATATTTCTTAATATTATAAGAGAAGATATATTTAATTATAACTTTATAAGACGTATTTTAATTAGTTTTGGAACTTTGAATTCTTAATCAATTTCAGTTACATTATACAATTAATAACTTAAATTCAAATTCGAAGTTTTAATTTTGTCTTTTAAATTTGTAAATTAAATAAAAATTCCAAATTTATATGAATGATAAAAATATATGTAAGGACTTTTGATATCATCATGTAAGGATAGTAGTTTTCGTTTTATTCAGAGTTACATTAATTTTATCCTTGTGAAATTCATCCGCATTATTGAATGAAATTTTCATTTTTATTAAATTTAACGATATTTCTGCTGAATGTAAATGTCCACTTTATTTTTTCATTTAATTTTATTGCAGATGAAAATGTTTGACTATTTGCAGAATATAAAGGAAGCTGAAGCGCCATCAAGATATCTTTTATCTTTCCTTTTTAAAAAACGAGTGTTTACTTTTTCTCATGCAACATATAGTTATTCCTTTTTTCAAGTCATGTGGCCCATAATTTCCTGACTTTCTTTGTTCGAATTTGTTTGCTCAATCAATATGACCGGATAGATATATTATTAAACCTTCAAAGATTTATTAAACTGAATAGTATTTCGGTTTCAAAAGGACATTTTACTCGGCAGTAAGGATTTATTTTATAAATAAAGATCACATTTCTAACAAATAAAAGATCATTTAAACACAATGTAATACATTCTCATGTAAAACAAATCATTTAAGAGTTTTTATCTGTTAGGAAGGGCAAATATACAAATAAATCTACTGATTCTTTTTAGGTTTCGTTTTAGACCTCTTAATTCCATTTAGCTGTTATTTTAGATATTACATATTAATATAAATACAATTTTTTAAAATGTTTATTTATATTTAAAACGTGAGTTAAGTTCAACAACTGTATTTTTTTTTAATATATGTAAATAAGCCACGTTATTAATATAAACCATAGTGGCGTGACAGCCCCGAGAGGGCCAAGGCCTACTGCGCACATTCCAATTTTTTTTGACCTTGGACTTTGGGATACAGGAGCAGATGGTCCGGTTGGGTGGTCAACCTCAAGCATGTTTGGCACTCATTTTATCAACGTACTGAAGGGATGAGAGGATGAATCAACCTTGCCTGGTCCGAGGATAGAACCTGAGACCTGTGACACAGGAGAGTGGAGTGCCACTTTTCAGCCACTGGGTGATGATGTATATTATTTATTTATCCTATTATTGCAGTTATGATAAGTTATCATACATTGTAGTTATATTCAGTTAACATATTTATCATAATTACCTTCTGTAACTTGTGTACGCTGTGTTGAAGGTGTAAAGTAAGGAGCTTTATCGTTGCTGTTTAGGATAGTAACCACCAAAGTAGCAGTTCCTGTGTGTATAGGGCTTCCATGATCAACTGCTATAACCTATGTCACATGAATAAACAAGAAATTATATAAAGTAAACATGACTCATGAAGTTTTAAAGCTGTATTTCACTCTTCTTAAAAAAAATACACGGATAAGACTTAAGTCTTATGTAATATTAAAAAGTATCAATGCTAATATTAACTTTTTAAAATGGTAAGATTATATTTGGAGTTTAATTAATAGAAAAATAAATAATGAAAAATTACGCTTACTTCAATGTTATATTCTTTTCTTCGATCATAATCAAGTTTGGCTCCACTTTTTACTGTTATTTCACCGGAATTAGAATCTATTAGGAAGTCGTCAAAACCACCTCTTTGAATTCTATATGAGAGTTCAGCGTTCACGCCAGTATCAGCATCTGAAGCTGAAACTTGCTCGACGATAGTACCTAAACAGTATTCATTATTTATTCAGAATATTTCCCAAACACATAACACGTAAGTTTCAAAACGGGTCATTTTATGTTATGATTTCTATGCAAATTTAATACAAGTTGTATAAGAGTTACCAACACATAGACTGCTTTAAATAAAAATAGTATCATCATAAAATGAAAATGGCACTTTTGAGCTACTTTTGAAATTATTTTTCACTGGAATATCTTTTTAACGAATCTTACTGCACAATATAAATTGCTATGCAAGTTAAAAAAAAAAAATCAGAATGGTTTTTTGATGCAGGACATGATCAAATGATAAGCATTTGCAAGTCGTAAATGATAAGATCTCTGATGGCATCATTCTTGCACAATTGTAGCTCATATTTGATTGGTTTGTTGGAAAAGCAATCTGTTTTTGAATTGTGGCACGAAAAAAAAACCTTATTTTTATTTTTAATGGTTTCAGCCGAGCATTGAAAAATATATCTCCAATTATTATTTTTGAGAGAAAAAAGTGAAACTAAAATTCATAATGAATCCTTATGATTACAATATTTACAATATTTTTTAGGCATGAAAGAAAAAGTTAGAAATTTTAAGCACCAATAATCAATTTTACTTTTTTACCAATTGTTAATTTTAATTTTTGGGAAAAACTCATTTAACACTTTAAACACCACGTTTTCTCCTTCTCTTAGTGTTTGTTGCTTTATTCTATACAGAATTATTGCTGCTTAGGAGAATTTTTATATATATTTATGCAAGCACATAGTGCAGTTGCTGAAAGGTTAAAGGATTGCAAAGTATAATTGTAGGATCACGCAGAGCTTCTTTATTCTATATGAATAGAAAGCTAGACTATTACTTAAAAAATGCGTTAATATATTTTTAAAAAAATTGTATTTTCAGCTAATAAAGATACTGAATTCTCAATCTGAAAACCATATGCAACTTTTTTTAAGAATGCTATTTCATTAAAAAAAAAAAGAAGAGAGAACGAATTGTGCTTCCCTTTTAAAAAATCAAGTTTTGAATTTAAACTTCTTTGAGAATGAAATATCAACTTACCAGCTGGTGACGATTCTGGGATATTAGCAGTGTATATTGGCTTTTGAAATATAGGTTCATTGTTATTTGCATCCTAAAATGTAATAATAAATATAAATAAATTGCATTATTCTGATATTTTCAATTTATAGTAGTACATATTAACAGTAAATGTTTATTAAACTCTTCATGAAATCTCAGTGAATGTATCATTCCACTTGTAAGAAATGCATAAATATAAAATTTCTGGTAATAAATAAAGATTAATATGTACTCATTCAAAACTCAGAGTTGGTACACATAATCTGAAATTAACATATAACAAAAGTTTAGCAAAAAAAAATTTATACATTAAAAAAATAGAGGTGTTCAAGAAACTATTTAAAAAAAATTAATATATTCTAATACATATAATGATATTCATGAGAAGTTCATAATTACCTTAACTGTAATTTTTACTGTTGTTGTTACTATACCACTTCCTCCATCACTAGCTTGAACAGTGAGAATAATTCTATGAGTAAAGGAAATAAAAAGTTATTAGTGCATATACTCGAATATAAAGGGTGTACCGTAGTGATCACCTTTACTATATATTTCTAGAATCCCTTAAAAAGATAAAGTAAAAAAAGTATATTCATTCATTCTTAAATTTATAATACTGAAGGGGAAGAAAAACAAAAACTCTATCAAAACTTAACGAATCACTGCTTAGAATAGCTGAACTGAAAAATCAAAACTTGTTTGATTGTCGGAGGAAACAGAGGAGAGTTTAAAAATGATTATTAAGGTTTAACCAGGCAATAAAACTGGCTTTTAAGTATTATATTCTACCTTTCTTACTAATGATTTCGACTGCATTTTTGTATCTGTTTAACAAGAAGTGTAATTTAGCATGTTTTCACGAACTACTCAGAACATCTTTGCTGGGCTTAATAAACACTTTACAGTAGCACTAGAAAGACTATGAAATTAAATTCATATCAAAACATTAAGCTCTGAGCTAATTTAATCTTGAATTCCAAATTGTAACATGTTGAATGGAAAACATTTTTCTATTAAGTCGTATGAATGTTTGCTTATATAACTAAATCCTGAAAAATAATTCAGTAAAATTTTATTTCAAAATTGGTTATATGAAACTTGAGAAGAAGGGAAGTGATTATGCCTAATCATGTGATTTAAATCAGATTTAATTGGATACCTGTAAGCGACGTCACGTGTGTGTGTCGAACCAGACTGGCTCTTAAATCAACAAATGTCGTGATTTACCAACGATGACGTCACTTGAAAGTATCCTATTAAGTAATTATTTTAAATTTTGATTATATTTCTTAGAAAAGAGGGGGAAACGTATGAAATTAGGATATGAACGGGAATTACTTTCAAAAAACATTTGAACAAATTGTTCTACTTTTAGCTAATGCAATTTGAAGCATAAAAATAAACATTTCAAGTAATAAATTTAAAATACTACACAATTTTCTTTTAAAGCGAAAAAAATATACATCCTGGATAGCAGTTTATGGTTGACTTTAATTTCAGTAACAACCTTCATGACAAAGCCCAAGAAGGTTTATAAACCATACAAGCTTGAAACAGAGTTAAATTTACTTATACTAGTTAAATTTAATGTAATAGTATAATTAAATTTAACTATATTAATAGTATGATTAAATTTAACTAATAGTATAATTAAATTAAAATTAACCTAATAGTGTAATTAAATTAACTAGTTAAATTTAATTAGACTATTAGGTTCGCACTAAACTTGCATATGCAGCCCTTTTATATCAATATAGAATCTGCCTTTAGCAAACATGGCTAGAAAAGTCATCTGAAATCGAGGATGATTATCATTTCCAAACCAAGAGTAGAAAGAGTTTTTAAATTGAGGATAAATTCACCTTTTCAAGGTCTATTTTAGATTTTATGACCATCACTGAAATAAGGTTTATTTGAGTAGGCTTTTATATACTTTCTTTAACACTTTAAAAATGAAGACTAGCCTGATCACTAAATTTAAATCACATTCAGAATGTTGCATTTGAGAGTTTGGACAAAGCTGGAATGAAAAAAAAGGCAAAAGTATAAAAGTAAAGCTCATAGTAGAAGCAAAAAAGCGCGATTTTTCGGTAAAGTTTTTTTTGCATGCCTTTATTCAATCTTTTAAGTTTGGGAAACTAATATTTCTACTAAGTTTATAAGATAATTAATTAGTCAACCTTTCTATTCCAACCAAATGAAAATGAAAATACATTGTTTGTCGTAAGGCTGTCTGTTGTGGTTTGCTAAATGGGAGCACTGCTAAAATATATACCTAATGTAAATTAAATAGATATTCTTGCAAAAATGCAATTTTTTGCTTACTGGTCTGTTTTCAAAGCTGATACATCCAAACCATTCCTCTGAGCAACTGTTATTTCTCCAGATCTCCCGTCGATGGCAAAGATATTGTGATTGTTGCCTGCTATGATCGAATACTGCACAACCGATGTTGCATCTGCGTCCACTGCCTGCGAAAAATTAAATTATAACTTGTAGATATTATAGGATATTATATCCGGCAATAAAATATCATTTTCAAGGGAAACTAATATTTTTTTTACAATTGCATTATTCATCTTGGAAGACTAGACAGATGTTTCTGAATATTATATGGCAGAAATTCATTTTATAGGATTTTCATTTAAATGATCAATGCAAATGGATAAGTAAGGATAGTTTTACATTTTATATAAATGTTAATGTAGGAGGAAAGAAATTTTTCATTTAAATGAAAATATAAGCTTATAGTACCGGTTTCCGATTTTTTTTACTGCTAAGGAATCCTAAATGATCAACCTTCTTTTGGTGGAGCCCCGACTCTATAAATAAAATATGTAAAACAATTGTGAGCCTATTAAGCAATAAAAGTCTACTTTCATTTGAAAATATTTAAAAAGATAAATGGAATTTTATCATTAATTGTCTTAAATTGGGATTTATGTTCCGCATTTGAATTCGCAGTCTTGGAACTGAAAGTAATATATAGTTATGAATTTATTTTTAGTATGTATATAAACTGATAAAAAAGTAAATTAGTCAAATTTTGGCTTTTGTTGAAATGAAAGCTAAGATGAACTGGTGTGATAATTGAAAAAGGGTATCAGGGTTTGTTTGAAAAGCACGATGGTTTCTTTGAGACTCGTGTCCATTTAATAATGTATTGTTAAAAAATAATTACGTTTTCTTCAAAAAAAACGCTATTTTTTTCATTGTCATTTGACATTAAATATTTGCATAAAAGTAATCAAAATATTAAATAAATAATAAATTATTGATTGAACCTAAATATAATTATAGGTAAAATTACGAAAATGATACAAAAAAAGTTTGAAACCCTAACTCTTGGAACTCAAAACTTTAGCTCGAGAATTTCTTTTTTGGTAGTCGAATAAGGTATAAAACTTAATTTACCATGTATTGTCTGTAATTACTAAAATACTTTTTATAAAAAAATTCATTTTTAAATCACAAATATATTGTATTTATACTAATATGCTTATTTTTTGTTGAAGTTCGACTGCTTAAGTGAAAGATTTCAAATTAAGGACAATATTTGCAACAACAATAAAAATTTAGCGTCTGAGGTAAAATTAAAAATTACCTGAACTCTTAGGGGAGTGTCAAATTTAAATGCACCTTCATCAATAGTTGCGGAGTATGAGTCATGTATAAAAGCTGGTGCATTATCGTTAGCGTCAGAAAGGGAGATGGTGAGAGGGACAACAGCAGCTAATCCATCACCTAATTCATCAACAGCTTGATAGGACAGGTAATAAGTGGGTCTTGTTTCAAAATCTAGGCAGTTACCGGATCCGGGAGTCAGGCAAGAAGCAACTGTGATAACACCAGATCTATCTCCTACATGGAATCTGTCCACCGAAAATGAAAGAAATAAAATTGAATGATTGCTTAAAATTTTTAACTGACAAATGATGATATTAAAATAAAAATTTGCTAAATTTACTTTTCAGCTCCGTTTCCAAAAATTGAATAGATGATACCGGCCTCACCGAATTTCTTAGTGTCTCTATCTGTAGCCTAAAAGAAATATAATTATAACAATTTCAGTTTATTTCTGCTTATTTTTATTGCAACAATCTGGAATTAACCAGTCGCATCAGTCTTTTTTTTTTGAGGTGTCCAAGATCGTCAAAACCAACAGAAATGATAAATTAAATAAATAATCCCAAGATTGGTAAGAAGAACAGAAATGGTAAGATATTACTTGATTGGAAACTTCATTCTTTTCAGAAATATACAAATTAGAAATTACAGCCAACTTGTTTCAAGAGCTCAAAAACAGACGCCCATTTTCAAGACTTGCCAGACGTGAATGGGAAGAAAAAGTGATTTGAAATAATAATTTTTTTTCCAAATTACTTCTTTTTTGAAATATGAATAATGTCGACTTGAAACATGCCGACTATTATTTCAAATTTGTATATATTTGAAGCGAATGGTATTTTAAATCAAGTAATAACAGAAATAATGTTTTCCATAAATTTAGCGACATTGAAGAACTTTTACTTACAGTATTTATAGTAAGAACTTTTACTTATAATAAGACAAATGACTTCTTAGAAATTTTGGATAATAGGTTAAACAATATTGTTCAAATCTGTTGTAACCTTTAATTAATATGATGGTAACGTGAATTATATTTTGTACTTTGTAGTATTAGTATGTTTCAATGGTTCAACTTGAACATTAACATAGTTTCATTTAACTCTTTATTAATTTTTCAAGAACTTGCACCGTATTGTGGTATGAGGTTACATTCGGATTCAAGGTTGAACCGATTTATCTATGAGTACATGTTTTTCAATGCCAAATCTGATAAATTGATTTCTTAGGAATTGTAATTAAATAAATAAAGTATGCTTTGAAACAGAATATCTCAACTTTTTTGTAAAATCTGTTCCACATAATTAGAATCAAATAAAGTGTCCGAAGCACTTTAAGGAGTGTGGAAAAAATTGCATTAGTAGCTCTACTTACTGTTATAGTGTCTACAACTGTCCCAGCAGGTGCATTTTCAATTACACTGGCCTTATATTCAGGTTTGTCAAATCTTGGCGCATTGTCGTTAGTGTCTAAAATATTTACTGTTACAGTCCCCGTGCCAGACAGCTGAGGATTCGTGAAAGCTTCTTTGGCAACAACCTGTAAATATTGATTAAGAACAGTGAAGATCACCAAATAAATTTGATAATTATGCTTTTTAAATAAATAATAAATGTGTAATGCATGGCATAGAAAATTCTTACCAACAGGATAAATTTCCTTTGATTAGGATTTTCGTAATCAAGAGGCCCATTTGAAACTCGAATGCTAACTGAAGACGAGCCAGTCGCCAAGTTTGGCTCAACACTGAAGATGCCTGAATCATCCACTAACTCAATATTGAAGACAGAATTAGACCCCTAAAAATTATCAACAAAACCTTCATTTTGATTTAATGCCTTTTGAGGAGAAAAATAAAATATGTTATATAACCATGCAGCATATACAGAGTATCTCAAAATTCCTGAAAGTAGTAATTTTGATATAAAACACATGCGTCTAATTACATGTTATGAATTCCTTGTTGACTTATATATTATGCGGTATTGGGGTATGACATAACATATTGGGTAACAAGTGTGTGCTAAATAGGTGTTTTGCATAAATGATGCTAAATTTCATTGATACGGCACTCAATTTCTTCCCTTCAAACGTATGAGATTGGAATCTAGTCGTTATGAACCTTGGAAGTTAAGGCAAAAAAAAATTATCCAGCAGTGTTAAATCACATAACACGAATGGCTGATTCTGATCACAAGAAGGAAATCACGCAACCGGCAACTCATCAATGCCCAAAATATTGATTAATAATGAAAATGTATAGTTTTTTAGCGTAGTTTTCCGTTTTCTATAAACCTGAACTATCAGCTTTTGCACTTTTTAGCTTTCTCTTCTTCTTTCGCAATGTTCTTATGGCACAAATGATGCAAAATTCAAATCTTGCGAAGATTTAAGGCAGCTATTATAACTAAAACGTAACACTATTTCTTAAAAAAAAAGAGAATAAAATGCGTTTAGTAGGTTTTCTAACAAATAGAAAACATAGAGACGTTATTTATTGATAGCACACATTCTGCAAAATACTGAACATTATTCTATATGAATATACATATTTTGCCGCTAGAATTTGCAAGCTGTTTAATGTGCACTTTACCTGATTAATAGAGAAATGCCGCAAAGCGTTGGTTGTAAAGCGTGAATTAAGATTCACAATGCATGTCTGAAAATTTCATTACAAATTACAGTAAGAGATAACCAATAATATTAATAAAAAATTGAATTATAACTTATTTATTGATAGCACACATTCTGCAAAATACTGAACATTATTCTATATGAATATACATATTTTGCCGCTAGAATTTGCAAGCTGTTTAATGTGCACTTTACCTGATTAATAGAGAAATGCCGCAAAGCGTTGGTTGTAAAGCGGGAATTAAGATTCACAATGCATGTCTGAAAATTTCATTACAAATCACTAAGTCGTAAGGGAAAGATTGTTTCATCCAGAGGTTTTCTAATGGGGCAGATGATTAGCCATGACGTTGAAGGGCTAGGAAATTGAAATTGATATAATTCGCGTTTTTAAGCACATTGTGAAATCTGTATGCATTGAATTAAAAACGATATTTCAACATATTAAAATTTTTTTTAAAACCATAAACCATTAGGGCAGGAAGGTCTCAATGATAAATCTCCTTAATGCCCAGATTAAATAAGGCAATCCTTTGAAAGTGTGGGATCAAGAGTTTTCGTATTTTACCTAGGTAATGTGTACATCAACAGCTTCAGTATGCAACCAACAGTATGTAATCAACAGCTTCCTTTTTTGACTCCTTTAATTTGGTTCCACCAGTGTGTCTTTTCATTATTGTTTTTTAATTGATTGATTCTGTCAGTCAATTTGATAAATGCTTGATTGAATAAATAACATTATGCTAATTTAAGCGCACAGAAATGCTGGTGCTATTCCATCAAAGTACTTATTTCCATTTTAACATTTTAACGAGTTGTCATGTCACGAATAAGTAATGTGACTCGCCCTTGTACACTGATTATTAATGTAGTTATTATAATTATTAATTATATTAATAATTAATTTACAAGCTATAGTAATTATAATAATTGGTAATGCATACAATAATTATAATATTGTTATATTATAGTTATTATTAATATAAACATTGCTTCCTTACCGTGTCCGTGTCCTGAACAAACATGTCGAGGTTAGGCAAAGGTGTACCATTAGCGACGTTCTCGTTCAAATTGACAGTGTAACTAATTTTGTTGAAAGTCGGTGGTTCGTCGTTTACATCCCTTATTGTAATCATCAGTGCTGCTACTGTCCAGGCTTCATTACCAACAGCTAGAGCTCCATTGGACATAACTTCAGTAGCCTAAAATAATGTAGTAAGACATAACTTAATTGTGAGTAACGGGTACTAAAGTTTTATTTTTTTGACCAACACAGTACACTGAAGCATGCATTTAAAAGTTCCATTAGAAAAACTATTTTTTTTATTCCGTTTTATGCTTAAATACAGAAGTCAGGTTAAACATGTGATCAATTTGCAAAAGTAGTGTGCTTGAAGAAGTGCTAAAGTTAAATAGTTTTTTCGTATCCATTTTTTATTTTCCGATGTAATTATGGAAAGCAAAGGAGGTTAGACCATTGAGGTTCTAATACGCCCAATCTGCTTTATATTTAAGCATTTATATAACTGATGGGCACCAGATTGCAGCATGGAAGCAAACAAAATCGCATGCTTTTTCTACCCATCAATCATTTGCAAGTAAATACAAAAAAATCTCTTGTAATATTATTTTTATTCAGAAAGGTAAATTTTTTTTGTAAGCTCTCCTTTTTGTTACATGACAAAATGAGAGTGAAACTTATCGCTTTTCCGGTGATGTGTCGAATTTTTGCGAGTTTCAGATGTTTTTCATGTTTTTTCTCTATTACAGAATATTGGTTTATATTTTCTATTTTAATATGCTTTTAATTATTATTTTTACAAAAAAACCATTAAAGGAGTTTTGATTTATTGTACAAAACCGATGATTTTGTTAGGCATCCTTGTTAAACTTTCAAAGAGAGAAATATGAAAGACCACAACAGGAAATATAAAGAAAACTTTTTAAAATATTAAGAAGTAACCAAGAATCAAATAAAAAATGAGTAATAGAAATGGTTAATATTATAGAACAACCGTATAAATCTAGTAAAATTTAATTAATCTTACAATTTCAGGAATCAGAGGCTCCTGAGCAGTAAAAGGTCTAGTGTAATAGAGCTTAGAAGTAACTTACAGAGTTTTTCCTACTTTATTTCTGAAAAATTACTGTGAATATTTATATATATTTTCATATAAATTTTTAATTTTTCCATCTCTGTAATTTTATACACTCTATAACAAAAAAATCGATGGTCCAAGAAGCAATCATCCGATTGCTTTGAAATTTCGTATGCATGAATATTTTGAACAGATATGGCTGGAATGATGCCGACTGGGGACGTATAGTCTTTAGCGACGAGTCCCGCTTCCAACTGTGTCCTGACAATCATCGAAGACGCGTTTGGAGACGCACAGGGCAGAGGGGGGGATCCTGTGTTCACTATTGCACGCCACACAGGCCCTCAACAAGGCATTATACTGTGGGGTGCAATTTCCTTTGACAGCCGGACCCCTTTGGTCGTCATTAGAGGTACATTTACTGCACAGCGGTACGTCAACGACATCCCAAGACCTGTTTTTCTACCGTTCTTTCTGTAGCACCCTGGGCTGGTTTTTCAGCAGGACAATGCCCTACCACATACGGCAAGTGCTGCTATGAACTGTCTGCAAGCTTTTCAAACTCTTCCTTGGCCTGCCAGATCACCAGATCTCTCTCCCANGTTATGATTTATTGTACAAAACCGATGATTTTGTTAGGCATCCTTGTTAAACTTTCAAAGAGAGAATTATGAAAGACCACAACAGGAAATATTAAGAAAACTCTTTAAAATATTAAGAAGTAACCAAGAATCAAATAAAAAATGAGTAATAGAAATGGTTAATATTATAGAACAATCGTATAAATCTAGTAAAATTTAATTAATCTTACAATTTCAGGAATCGGAGGCTTCTGAGCAGTAAAAGGTCTAGTGTAATAGAGCTTGGAAGTAACTTACAGAGTTTTTCCTACTTTATTTCTGAAAAATTATTGTGAATATTTATATATATTTTCATAGAAATTTTCCATTTTTCCATCTCTGTAATTTTATACACTCTATAACAAAAAAATCGATGCTCCAAGAAGCAATCATCCGATTGCTTTGAAATTTCGTATGCATGAATGTTTTGAACAGATATGGCTGGAATGATGCCGACTGGGGGGTCCTTAGCAACGAATCCCGCTTCCAACTGTGTCCTGACAATCATCGAAGACACGTTTGGAGACGCACAGGGCAGAGGGGGGGGGGATTCTGTCTTCACTATTGCACACCACACAGACCCTCAACAAGGTATTATACTGTGGGGTGCCATTTCCTTTGACAGCCGGACCCCTTTGGTCGTCATTAGAGGTACATTTGCTGCACAGCGGTACGTCAACGACATCCTAAGACCTGCTTTTCTACCGTTCTTTCTGTAGCACCCTGGGCTGGTTTTTCAGCAGGACAATGCCCTACTACATACGGCAAGTGCTGCTATGAACTGTCTGCAAGCTTTTCAAACTCTTCCTTGGCCTGCCAGATCACCAGGCCTCTCTCCCATCGAGCATGTCTGGGATATGATGGGAAGGCGATTGCATCTGGCACGGAATGTTGATGACCTCGTTCGACAATTGGATCGAATTTGGCAGGAAATACCACAAGAGACCATCCGGAAGCTTTATCGGTCTACGCCACGCCGTGTGGCAGCTTGTATCCAGGCTAGAGGCGGGTCAACACCTTATTGAACTTGTTACTGTAACTCTGCAATAAATTATTCAATTGCTCTGAAATTTTAATCATTTACTATTCTGCACATTGTCTTCTTACCCACCAATTTTCGTTTTAATCGGACAACTCCTTCTTGGTGCGTCGATTTTTTGTTATAGAGTGTATGAGTCTTCTTATTAATTATTTCCTGTGTATTTTTATGTGTTTTCACTGGAAAATCTTTTACAATGTAGGTTCTAATAACTCTTTTAATTTCCGTAGGTCAAACTTTCCTTCTAGTGGAACAAACTGTCCTTAAGTAGGGCAGCGTATACATATTTAAAGTATCATTCTTAAGTGAAAAATAATTCTGTAATTAGAAGACAAACATTATAAACTATAAAATAATGTCAACTTATAAACTATATTACCTTATAGTTAATAAGTTTAACCCACCTTTTTCTAAAATGTGAGATAAATCTCCCATATTTTTCTTATAGTATTTTGAACTACAAGTAATAAATTCCAATTGTGTTAAAATTTTTAACTTTTTAGGTGCAAATATGAATATTTAGATGATATATATAAACGCAAAATCTTGAGCCATGTTAATAACGTAATAGAAGACTTAATAAAACCTTGTAAAAAACTAATTTTAAAGATCAAAAATTTTTTGATGGAAATTAATTTATTGAAGACTGAATAACAAAATATCGTGTTTTAATTACCTTTACGCCAACATTTATAACACCATTTGATGATGGAAATATTTCTTTGTCCAGAAGCCTAGCAGTTCTTAATTCTCCAGTTTCCGGATGCACGCTAAAGAATTCCTCAGGATCTGTCAAAAAAGTAATTCGGTAATTATTTTTTTAGAAATAATGAAAGTCTATGATTGTTTTAAAATCTTTTATTTGTTCACAGCATTATTTTTTTTATTCATTAAAAATATTATTAACTGAGCACAAATTCTAACAACTTGTTTAACAATTTCGTTTGTAAACACTGTCACTTTATTATTTTTGGTTTTTGTTAAATTTTGTATTAGAGTAATATTAAAACCAAAAAGTAAAGAAAATTCATTTTCTTATCATTTCTTTTTTGAAAACAATTAAAATAATTACAAGGTGTTGTTTAAAACTCTTCGGGGAATAATTTTTTATTAGGATAACTCACGAAGTTTAAACAACTGGCAAAAAACTTGGCATGCTAGGTATGTGTGTCTGCTAGACTCATAGCAAGTGTGTCTTGATTTTTTTTGGACATATCTAACTGAAATAGAATGATACCTAATTTGAATGTTTGATTGATTATAAACTTGAGTCTTCTGACAATTAAATGTTGTAGAACTTGTCCACTACTGGGACTTGAGAGATGAAAAACTAAACTAGTTTGAGGGACGAAGAAAAAAAAAGTTGGTTTTAAGAAAATAATAAAGATGTTCTATGTTCTGGATGTTGCGCAATCATCCCCTTTAATGTTGAGTCTTAGAGTCCTTGCCAAAAATGATGTCAAAAAGTTATGCACATTGAGAGTTACAAATTAATATATACTAAACTAAACTTAGTAGAGTGATACAGCCATCGAGAGCCCAAGCCTACTGTGCCCATCTCAGTTTACTTGACCACTGGGTGCAAGAGTTCCAGTTGGGTGGTCAGCCCGATTCAGAATCCCCATTGTTTAATTCCCAATCATGCTTTGGTACTCATTTTATCCAGCCACTAAAGGGATGAGAGGCAAATAATATATAAGCTCAGGAAAAAAGTGCTTTTGAAATTCAACTTCTGAATACTAAGAAAGGCAGGGGCTGAAAACATCAAAACCTGTTAGGTGGCTAAAAGGGACTAAGAGGATTTAAAAGATGATTATTAGAAACGTCCTCAAGTTTCATCAGGACACACTCATTTTTCACTTTACTTTTCTAACTTGTGATTCTACCTAATTTGTGAGCCCTAATGAGTTTTCATTTTTGACCGAGGTTTCTAAACATATACATTTAAGTTGGTCTAAACCAGTGTTTCTCAAACTTATGACCTTTGTTTAACCTTTCTAAATTTTTCGTAATGCTGTGTACCACTAATAAAAAATTGAATTTATTTTCTAATATTAAAAAAATTGCACAAAAGTGTAAAACCACAACAGGCTGTTGACACCCACTAACTAACTGCTAACTCTGCAAAAAATTGCCAATAGAAAAATAAGTAATCTTAAATTTTCTTGACTAGCTTTGTTTTTAAATGAAATTTTTTGAAATTTTCGCTTGTTGCAAGATATTTTGCATAAGAACGCGTACCCCTTCCCGTACCCCTGGGGGTACGCGTACCACACTTTGGGAAACACTGGTCTAAACGGAAGATCCTATATAAATCTTTTTTAAACGTTTTTCGAGATCAGCCTGCTTATAAATCTAATCAGGAAGAATTGCTATTGTTATTTTAACACTTAAAATAATTGTTCAAAATATTGTTACATTTTTGGTGTTATTGGTGCATGTATAAACTATGTTTAATATAATTAACTTATATTGGTAAGTTAGTGCGCCACTTACTTGTCACCAGTTCATAAATAACTTTTCTGGGACTTCCTTCGTCTCCATCTTTAGCATGTAACGTGATTACTAGAGTTCCCTAAAGTGGAAATTACACTTTATTTATAGCATTGGGAAAAAGTAATTAAAATATAGCTTTTATACGAGCAAAAAATAATTTATGTATACTTCATATGTGATGTGATGAAAATCATATCCATGAATTTATATTAAAATCTAATTGGTAAATATGTCTGTCATTATTATAAAATGCAAAAAAGCTTTAAATATCTTTCCAAAAATTATTTTTTTCTCTTGAACTTACCACAGGAACATCTTCGTCTACAATACCAGTCAGCGACCCCATAAATACGGGCGGCCTGTTTTGGACATCATTTACATCAATGTTGACTGTCTCTGAAGTGTTGTAGCGACCATCCTAAAACATTAAGCAATGATTAACAATTTAGCCTGTAATCCAGCTTTAAAAGAAAGTAATATATCCATTGCTTTCTAATTAGAATTTATTAGATATTAATGAAAAAAAGTTAAAATAAAGAGCAACTATTTTTAAATGGTGTTTCGTGGAGGAACAGTCGAAAGGGTTGGGAGAGTTCGGACTTCTTTTAATTATATTTTTTATCATTTTTAAAACCTGGAATTTGATTTGTATTCAATAAGTAAACTGCTATTTATTTAATATTTTGTTTGTCTTGATAAAATTATTTTAAGTGAAAGGCCAACAAACAAGAAATGCAAAATTAAAAAAAAAAAACATTTTTCTAAGAGCTTGAATAAATTATGAAAAGGCTACGCATGTATGAAAAATCGAATTAGTATTCTTCGCTGCGCTTTTCAAATCAAATTAAAATAACTAAATTAGTTAAAAAGGAAATATGCTTCGCTAACAACTGTTTTTAACGTTTATAGCAGTTCATAGCTTTGTACTTTTGAACCCAATCCAGGAGACAAAGGAACTCCCAGATCAAGCATTGGAGCTAACTAGTCTTCGTAGAGGGTCTTTTGATGGAAATAACCCGTATTTGCAAAACATGGAAACGAAAACCACGAAAATCGCATACTGGTTAGTCCAATGGCAAAAGGGATTCTGTCCATTATCTGTATACCTCTGATGATATTTTACGTCAGCAAAATGATCGGTACAAGTCAGGAGCATAGTTCGTACTAACCAGCCACCGCTGAGATTCTAACCTGGGTAACCTTAATCGAAAGTAAATGTTCTATTTACTGAGTCATCGCTCTTCATTTCTCTTATATATTTTCGAAATAAATCGGTCTTTTATTAGTTAATGGATTCACAATTGTCGGATAAGGTCGGGGCTCTAACAAGAGAAGGCCGATCATTAAGGATTCCATTAAAAAAAAAAAAAATGGGAACTACTGAAATAGGCCTCTAAGTTTAAATGTGAAGCACTTAATGAACCATGCTAGGATAGTTATGCTAAAACTGTACAGTAAAAAGATATATAAAAATATTCTCGAACAAAAAAAATAATTGTTTTTTGACTTCTAGGCAGTAGTGATATAGAATGAAGTCTTCTTATCGATTCCGCTAAAGGCTCTATCATTACTTCAGATCAGACAGTTTCTTAATTAATTACAACGATGTTAACATGAACTTAGCTTGTGAACCGAGTGATAAACATTCTTTAGCCAAACATTCTTAAGTATTACTTATATTTCCGTAGTTTAAATCGTGTCATTAGTATACGTCGTCTAATTTAAAATGCTCTCTTCCCTAAATATATAATGCTTTCTCCTTCTTTTTACATCATACACTCTCCCAGGTACAAAACGTTTCACTCACATAAAAATCACCTAAATAATTGTATTTACAAGCACTTAAAATGAATTTTTAGGAAAACAAAATAAAGTAATACATTTTCATTTGTAAGTTATACTCACATCAGCAATAAGCCTGAGACGAAAGTTCTTGTTTTCTGAGTAATCTAAATTTTTGCGAAGAACTAATGCAGCTGAGGAAGATTGGGGTGAAGAGGATTGGGTGACTACCGAAAATTTGTCACAAGCAGATGGAAACTACGGAAACAAAGGATAAATACATTAAAGTTATTTTTTTAGAAATACTGGAAACAACAAATTATACTAAAAATGAGATATCATTGTAGATAAATTCATTAATTCTTTATTCGTAAGAAAAATAGGTGTTTATTTTAAAATTATTTTGCATGTTTTGTATTGTTCTATAAAATAAACATGCATCATAAGATAACTTGGGCTAGTGATGGTTTCGATGAGCTTTACAACTTTTGTCCATTTATTTGTGTATTAGTATGCAGGTTTTGATTTTGCATGCAAGGTTTAAACACAATGTCAGTATATTAAATGATAACTATTTTACAATTAAAATTTATCATATGTTGATCTATAAAATTAAGAAAAAAAAATTAAAATTGTAAAATAATTAAAATTGTTAAGTAATAAATTTTTTTAAATTGAAATTTATCATTTAATGATTTATAAAATTAAAAAAAAAGTAATTAAAATTATTCCTACAAACAATGGAAACTATAAAATAGACATATATAATAAGATAACTTGTGCTAATAGCGGTTTCTATAAGCATTAAAATTTTTGTCCAGTTACTTGTGGATTATCAGGTTTTTGTTTTGCATGTAAGGTTTAAAGAAAATGTCAGCATTTATTAAATGATAAGTATTTTAAAATTGAAATTTATGGGTTTTGCTTTGCATGCAATACTTAAACAAAATGCCAGTATATTAAAATATAAGTATTTTAAAATTGAAATTTATCATTTAAATATTTAAGAAGATCATAAAATAATTAAAATTATTCTTACAAGCAATGGAAACTATTAAATACACATGCATAATAAGATAACTTGAGCTATTGGCGGTTTCGATAAGCTTTTCAATTTATTCATATTTCCTCGAATTCCTTTTCTAGTTTTCTTGTTCCAGTTTTTATAAATTTACGAATTCTAGTTCTTATTTTCTCGAATTCCTTACATTTCAAATAGGAATCAAAATAATTGCGATATTTTAAAAACTGATGAGTTGGTTATAAATTTAAATTTTTTTTATTACATTTTTTAAAATTACTGAAATTCGACTTTTTCCCAGGAACCATTCAAATAACTTTGCACAAATTTTGTGTCGCGTCATGTAAAATTACGTGTTTTAAAATAATCGAAATATTCTATAGAATAATACAAAATTTGTTCCTTTTAAAGTATGAAACCAAGATTTCTTTTTGTTTCAAAGGTCAAATTTAAAGTTAAATCTAAATATAATATTACCAATGATTGCTTGCTTTCAAAGATAATTTTTGATTGTGTACAAATATATTACTAAAATAAACCCAATTCAAATATAAGCTACAAAAAATTAAATGCTGCAGATATAAAAAACAACGAATTAAAAACCACATGTATAATGTTAAATAAAAATTTGTCACAAGGGAAGAAAACTACACTTTGATAATATTTGCATTTGTTTACTTCAGTAATACTTATTTCTATAAGTCTTATGTCACTATTTGACTGATTATTAATCTATGGGAACGTGCTTAATTGGATTTCACCAGAAAATCGGAAAACTTGTTTTATCCATTACAAGTTAATTAAATAAAAGAATTGAACATATATAATAGACACAGTAAATGGTAACAATATTAGCAGAAATCAATATAAGTCATCACCTTTTTCATTGTAATAATAATCATTAGTTTAGGTTAATATTGATTCCTAATTGTCATGTTAACACGCAAATTTAACACCTGTTTGTCACAGCTGTTTGTGTGATAGTAAATTGATTTATCACCTGTACTTTATCTTTGTCATCTTATTATATTTGACGGTAGTTAAAATCTTATAAACAATATTTTTATAGCTAATTTTAATCCGCATTTTTGTCGTCATGTTGGCCAAAGAAACATCTTGTTTATTCAGAGAAATAAATGTATTAATTCCAATGGAGTCTAGGAGAGAAAATGTTATTTCAAATTTTGTAAAATATTTTGAAAAAAAGTTTGAAACTTGCAATGCATTGTTTTTTATGCTATACGTATATGGAGTTCCAGGTTTCCAACTAAATTCAATTTCAAAGCTCTGGGTTTTAGTGCGCATTTTGTTTATGGCAGTATTTAATGTATGTTTAGTGTTTATAACATTTCAGTACTTGTATCAATTTTTGAATTGTAAAAATTTTCAGTGCAAAAAAGTGCTACTCTCCCGAGTTTTATGGAGAGTCTGCATTTGGTTAAGTTGGTTCTCAATGTACTACAAAAAACTTGCAGTCAAAAGCATTCTTTTCAAATACAATTCTCTGAAGCGAAGCTTGAGAAAAAAATACAACAGAATAACCAACATTGCGATGTTAATTCCATTAGTGTCTTTTCTTATTGTCGTCTTTCCCGTAATCCATGCTGCGTTTTTCGAAAAAAGTGTTGTTGACCAGTGGTTTTTGGAACTAACTTTTAAAACCAACGTAACATTGCATTCTCCAGCGAAGGAAGTTTGCATTTTTGTACATTTTCTTTTAACCAGTATGCTCATTACCCAAATGCCGTTGTTGCTTACGTTGTTCTATATCACTTGGTGTGTTATGCTGGGAGATTTAATCAGAAAGTGTTCCGTGACGTTAGCATTCCATTTAACTTTATCTTTCATCCAGGAATATGAGGTGATTCACGATTTGGCAATTTGTTCAGAATCTGCCCTTTCAATGGCTATTTTCTTTTTGAGTAGTGCTCATTTTATCGAGGTGTTTCAAGTGCTGGCCCGAGCGCTAAAATTTTGGACATTGCCCCATGAAGATATACAACTGTTGGTGGATAGAACTGTGTCCAATATTATCTTCTGCATTGCTTTTTTCGCTGTAACGTACTTTGCTTCCAGAGTAGCAAGGGAAGATGAGAATTTGCGGAAAAATGTCAGGAGGCACGTTTACACATTTAGCTTGTCTGAAAAAGCTGGAGGTGATGGAGAAAGACTGGCACAATTCATGCGCTCAAGAGAAAGAATTATGCTTTCGGCTTGGAATATGTTTCTGTACAGCAGAAGTACACTGCTAGCTTCGGTTGGTGTTCTTAGTACATATAATCTTTTATTTATACAGCTAAACATAAATGATGAGAAACCTGACATCGAGTAAACGAGTAAGTAACAGATATTTTGAAGGAAAGCTTACAGATTTGTGTATCTTTGCAAGAGCTTTGATCTATCAGGACTAAATACGCTGGCTTACAAAATAATTTAATAGGCAATTATTCATAACGTGAGTTTTTCTCAATTTAAATTTTGCTCAGGTCAGAATATATGCTCGAAAGATTTTCATGTTTTCTAAGTGCTTGATTTAAAGTGTTTCAAGTGCTGACCAGAGTGCGGATATTGTCCTATAAAGATATACAACTGTTGGTAGACAAAACTGTGTCCGATATTATGTTCTGCATTGCTTTTTTTGGTAATGACGTTCTTTACTTCTAGAGTAGCAAGGGAAGATGAAATTTTGCGTGAAAAATGTCGGAAGACACGTTTACACTTTCAGCTTATCTGGGAAAGGTGAGGGTGGCGGAGAAATATTGTCACAGTTTCTGCGCTCAAGAGAAAGAATTATGCTTTCGGCTTGGAATGTGTTTCGGTATAACAGAAGTACTATGATAGCCTCGGTTGTTGTCCTTAGTAGCTATAATCTTTTATTTATCAAGCCAAATAAAAATGATGAGAAACCTGACACATATTATCTAGATATTATCTCTGATGTTGTCTAGATAACTGTCTTAGAACTAAATACGTAGGCTTACAAAATATTTTATTAATATATTATTCCTAACGGAAGTTTTGCTCACTCGAAATTTTGCCCATATCAGTATATATGTATACAAAGGAATTTTCCTGCTCGTGATATTATCCATGCAATATTTTGAACACTCATTATTCTGCACTTTGCCGTCACGTTCCATATACTTTCGTACCACGAGAGATTTTGTTTTTTGTGTGGTTTTGTCTTGAAAGATTATGTATATTTAAGATTTTATTCACCAAAAATAACGCTTGCGACAGATAATCTCCAGAAAACTTTATAGAACTCTGTCATTTTTAATGTAAGGAAGGATTGAAAGAATCCCTCCATTAAGTTTCAGTAACCATTCCATGGATTAATTTTACAGTGCAAAATAGTACATTAAAAATAACAGTATTTTCTGTAAATTTTTATTCCTGTAAAATTATTAATAAATGAACTAACCTGTGGATGAAAATCACATCTGATTTGCAAGATACCTCCAACATCATCGGCATCTGTTATTCTGATATTATCAATAACCGTTGTTCCAATTGGAGTATCCTAAAGTTAAAAAAAAATTATGTTTTGAATTTTATGAATTTAAATTTGCTGAAAAAAATTCATTAGTTTTTTTTTCTCATGGTAACAGCACTGAGATATGGAATATTTTTTAAATGTAATTTTAGTATTTAATTATGAGGTTAGATTACAATTATCCGATTTACAGTCATAATTAGCTCTAAACATTTTGAATTAAAAAAAGAGTCATGTAAGCCCTTTATTAAAGTTAAAGGTGCGGAAGAAAGAAGTATTTAAAAAAAAAAAATGTTTGAAATAAGGTAACATAAATAATAGTTAGTAAAATCCCATTGTAAAATTAAATTTTGATTGTCACATTTTTTTCCAAATAAATTTTATTTTTAATTTTAAAAACGGCTTGAAAGAAAATGATTTATGATGAATTAAGATGGAAAAAAAATTTCAAGAAGGATGAGAAAAATACTTGAAATATTATATCAGGAAAGAATACTACCAAGAAAGCGTACAGATATTCATTCGGATATACATGCAAAGCTTAATTGCATTTCAAATACTATTAATAGATTTATAACATTATTATTTTCTGAGGTGTATTAAGCTGAAATTTTTTTCATACATCTTTTATTCACTTACTTCTGGAATGCTTGTCTTGTAAGGTGTGTTATGAAAAACCGGTTCGTTGTCATTTTCATCCAATATTATAACAGTTACTGGAACTCTGACCTGAAAATCATTTGAAAAAATCTGTATTATTTGAAAAAGTCATGATTTACAAACCAAATTTGTTAGCGTAATCTTATTTATTAAATATACTACAACTTATTCAAGCATGAAATTGGTGAATAATAGATTAGTAGAATTATTAAAATTATTTCATGAAAATTAAATTGGAGTACAATTATTTCAAGAAAATTGAATGTGGTATGATGAAACAAAGGAAATTTTATCTAAAAAAAAATGACATGAATGATTGCAATTTTTGATTGTGAGGATCCCTCAAAAACTTGTTCTGCTGTGATAGCACCCATCTGTTTCGGAACATAAATTTTACAGCCAGTGGCGTACGCAGAATTTTTTCAAGGGGGGTGTTCATAATTTTCTGAAACTACTAAAAGAAATTTGAGTGTGTAATAAAGCACTATTATTTCCCTAATTTAGACAGCTAGACAATTTTGACTTTTTATTTGGACAGCATTGTTTAGTTAAATTTTAATTTGATTTTTTAAGTTTAGGAACATAATGTTATCTTCTGAAAAAAGTCCAATGTCATATGGGTGGGAAGTAGCACTTTGAGGACCACTTTCACATTCATCAGATTTTGTTACGCTAGAAACGTTTACTTCAACGGAAGTATCACATNTAATTTTTCACCGCATCTCCAAATTTCTCGAATTGTCTCTAAGACGACAGAACGTCTAGGATTCCAGAATCATCGCGTAAAGACCTCTCGAATGACATCTAGTCTCGAAAACTATACTGGCAGGACAGAAAGGAACCAGTCCGTAACAGTATCACATGAATTTGGTTTCAAAAGTACAACCCTATTATAGTAAATGTTTTTTCAGTATTCTGAGGAATACCGTGAGAAAAAAAAGTAGGCATAAGGCAAATAAAAGTATATAGTCTTAAAAAATAATAGCACGCACAATTTCTTGTAAAATTTTTATTTTTGCCATTTTATCTGAGCTCAAGGGGGGTGTTTAAACCCCTAAACCCCTCCCTTGCGTACGCCACTGTTTACAGCCCAAACCATGTGCATAATACTTTATAGAACAACGATTTCACGATTTCCAATTGTAGACATTACGATTGATAATTTTTTAGTTAAAAGAAGATTATTAAATTATCTAGACTCTTTTTAGGTTCTCTGTAAAGCATAATACGCTACCTGGTGGTGATTTTTAAACTAATTAGAATTAAATATTCAACTTTCGAATATAATATAACAGAATATTCTAAATAGAATATAACACTATAAATAGATTATTTTAAATAGAATAGAATATTCTCTAAATTGAATATTCTTCAGATCAGAATACTTAGAAACAAATAAAATTCTCATTATTTCTTTGCGTCATTATCCGATTTTAATGAAATTTTGTTTCACAGTTCTTATACTAGCTATCCTCAAAAAGTAAGTTTTATTACAAAATATCTATGCGATTTATGAATTACTAATTTTTTAAAAAAAACTTGCTATTGTTTCATTTTTTAAATTTAGAACTACTATTATTAAGTTAACTTATCATTATTTTGCCCTTTAATCTTACTATTAAATTTTTGTCTTGATATAACTGTTAGTGAACTTACTATGAATTAGAATACTTTTTTCCAAAGATCTCTACAAGTCTTTTCAGCAAAAGTGAACAATTGTCATATATTTTATTTTATCATCCTATATATGTCATTCGAATAAAAATTATAGCTTTGCCTTTGTTGATAGTATTAATTTTCAATTTAAAATCGTATAATCAATTTCAAATTTTTAAATATTGCAACAGAAAGAACAGAACATTCAGAACTTTATGAAGAAATTCTAAGTATCTAATTTAAAATACACAGTGATAGTGAATTAAATATTTAGTTATATAATTCTCTAGGTCTTAAGCATATGCAAATATTTAGATGAATGCCAAGCATTTATGTTAGGCGTGCTGAATTAAAAAAAGAAGTAGTGATTATATTTACTTATGCATTCGAATTATTAATAAAACTAATTCAGTCTTATAATGATTGAAATTGAATTAGAGGTACAATTTGTTATCTTCTTCTGTCTGCTCTAAAGCCGTTTGTCGGCCGCAGATGTCATCTCGATTTATTAGTCACCTCTACTTTCCATCTTTTAATCCATTCCCAAAAAATTGTTATGCAAAGGTAAAATAATAGTCTAACTGAACTAATATAGTTAAAAAAAATAAAAACTACTAATGAAGAGTTATAACTGTCTATTTTTTTAACTAAGAAAAGTGTTGCCCAAAAAGTAATGAATTTACTCACCAAATTATTATCTTGTCCAGCACCAACCACATCTTCAAGAGTCACGTAAAATCTTAGGCTGTCATTTTCCTAAAGTGTTTAAAGTAATTACTTTTTACCTTCAAGTTAAGTAAAGCATCTGCTTAGAAAAAATGTTCTAAAAATTATTGACTTATCATAACATTATTCAGTAACGTGAAAAATAATTTTACGATAAAAATATACTATTATTATATACTGATATAAATGAAAGTAATGTAAAAACTGATTTTCAAAGCTTAAACTGTTGAATCTTATTAAATTAGTTGAATTGAATTAGAATATATAAAATCGAATATTCAAATTGTATTTTTTGACAAATTATTCGATGAATCAAAAAGTAGAAGCGGATCGGTTTTTTTATTAGTTGCATGAATTTGAATTCTTCTATATTAGAAATTTTGGAATACGTTATTCAAATTTTTGCAATAACATTTGGATTTCTGTAGCTTTAATACGGTGAAAGGTTGAACCATATTTTCGTATGAATTAACATTCCATTTTTCTGCAACTTTAATACAGTGACAAGTTGAAACGTTTTGTCGTGTAAATTAATCTTCCTTAAAAGAAATAATGCCAAGAAACTGTAGTGGAAGGATGTATTTAATCATGAAAAAAATTTATTAGCTTCAAAAATTTTTAAAGTGGAAAAAGTTGATATGATGCAAACACTCAATTACAAGATGAGGTTGGTTGTATATAATGTTTTATGCCAATTAATGTATTATGTCAATTAACGTTTTATGCCAATTATGTCAATTAATATGTTAAAAAAATATAATTAATACTGACAATGCCATCATTTTGACCAACCTTACTATTTTACCTTATCTTGAAGAATGCCGATACCCAGCTTTTCATCTTTACTTTATTTTCCATATTTTCATTGATAAACTTAGCTTTATTTTTGTTAATTCTGCTTTGTTTTACTTTTCAGAATGGGCGTCTTGATTTTTTAGCTCTCGAAACATGGCGATTTTTTCACCTTAATAATCTTTGAAGCTGAATAATTTTTACTATCATCAAGTATAATCTTTCCTGAATTTAATCACAAGATTCAATTAAACGGTGACATGTTCCAATGTAAAGATCTCAATGATTGTAATACATCCTCTTTAACATCTTCATGATTGTAACACCTTTATGATTTCAATTTTAAATCTTTATGATCAAACATCGTAGTATATTCTTTTACATTCGAATTATAGTGCAATAATTTAACGTTAAATACAAAATTATTCTTATTATGGAAAGTTGCGCGTGCTAATTTGCTAAAACTTAGACGTGTAAATCATTTGTAAGTACATTAGTATTAATTCATGTTACCTCATAGTGTATATCATTAGATTTATCTGAAGTACTTCTAAAATAAGAATATTTTCCATAACTTCTTAATTTCAAAATTATTTTCTAGGTATAAGGTATTTTAGACAGTACTTACCTCTCTGTCAATGGGTTCAGCAACTGTAATTATTCCAGTTGTACTGTTTACACGAAATCTATCTGTCCCCTCAAGCCCGTATGTAATTGTAGAATTTTCTGGGTCAGAACCCAATAATTGGAAAAACACAGAACCTGAAAGAAGTAGTTTTTTTGATTCATAAAGCAATTAACTATATTTAGCAAATAATATTTGGTAAAGGTATTATTTACATCCATACTGCATCTAGAGCTTATTCTTCGATAAAACACTTCGAACGTTTTCAGTACTTTAGCAAATGTTAAACTAATCAAAGTTTTTATTTATTTAAATAAGTTTTGTTAAATAAGTTTTTCTTTTATTTAAAAAAACTATGACTAATACATCTCGGTTCTCCACTATGTCTCAAAAGAAAATTTTAAGCCTCATGAAACTTTTTGCCATGAATAAAGTTTTAACTAAAAATTGCGATTGTAATATTTTAACTGTATAAGCTTTACATGAGAGGGGAATTTATAATGAAACTATAATAAATACGTATTTTTAAATTTTAAATATGCTTTTTTGTTTTTAAAAGTAAATAAGTTTAGTTACAATAATACACTATGGAATGGAATAAAATAGAAATTTAAATTAGGCTAAAAATAAACGTATTTAAACTAAGATGCAGAAATCTCATTATAAATAACGTAATTTTATAGTAATTTTGGCCTTTTGTTGTTGGTGCAAATTCTTGCAGAATAATTTTTTTTTATTGTTTTCTGAAATAAAATTCCTCTAAATTTTTTTTTGATAGATAAATTTTGCAAACTTAAAGTTTAGTTTTGTTCTTTCTTAAATTAAATTTCTCAAAGAAATTTTTTTAGATAGATAAACTTATTTATCATATTGTAGTTGGTAACGAGTTCAATTAAAAACTTGTTAATGAAAAAGTCTGCAGAATTTTTAAATAATTCTAAGCATTAATGCAGTAGTTTGCTTAACGATGAACAGATCGAGATTTTTTTTAATAGGTACATTAAGGACATTTACTCCGGACATTGGATGTTTTCATCGAAGTTGAAAAATCAAAATAAGTAATACTCGGTAACTGGTTTATTGAAATTTTTATAAGAATGAAAGCGTATTTAATAGTAGCAACAAATATTTTATATCGGAATGTCATTTTAGTTGCAGAAAACTGATTGATAAACATTTGGATAAACATTTACAATACATAAGTTTCAAGAAACTATAGCTTACCAATGGGGGTGTTTTCTTTAATAACAGCTAAATCAATGTTTCTTAGGAAAATAGGTGGACGATTGGCAACTGATAGGCCTAAAAATAGAAACGTGTAAATTTAAATTATAACAAATCATACCTCTGGGGATACTGATCCAGGAGTTTCCTTGTCTTCGGGATCGGTTCAAAATTACAAGTCTACAAAGTTGAAAATTAATGGTCGTAAACCCAAAATTGCGGCTGTTCAACGACAGTTATAAAATTATAAAATAAAATTTGAATTGAAAGAGAATAATAAACGAAAATTTCGTTGAGTGATAAGATAATTATTAATAATAATAAATTTTAAAATTCCAGTACTAGTTGGGCCATTCTCACAAAAAGGTGATTTTTTAAGTCCCTGAGCAATAAATATTAGAAACTACAGCAGATTTCTTAATATTTCTCTTCATCATTTTTCGTGAAGTTCTTAACTAACAAATCATATGCATTTCTGCTAAATGTATTTAATATTTCATTCTTATTTTTTAATAAACATGACTTCAAAATCCCCTCCGTGGACGTCCCTACGTCTGTGGCACAAAATAATTTTTAATGGCTGTTAAACAATTTAAATGTTATTTTAATGATTTTTGTAGTTTAACCTAGTTAAGTGTTTATAATGACTTTTTATTTAATATTTAAAAAAAAATTATTTTTGTAAAATAAATGACTAGTAAACGTTATCCATCAAAAATGAAGTCTCCCTGCATGGACAATTAATATAGTTCTGTAAATATGCAATAAAGGGCAGCATATGCGAAATCCCTATAAGACAGCTGCTGGGAGGGGTAACCATTCCATTTTCTAATGTTAAATATCAGTTGTTTTTGTTCTCTTTGGTGTCAGTTTTGGATTGTTGTGTTCAACTGGGGTTTGGCAAAGTTCTCACCGTATACTCCGTGGACATCATAAAGAAGGTAAGAGAAAATTATTTTATTTTTGATAGATGAATTTTAGATTGCAAAAATAGTATATTTAATAAAAAGAACTGCCCCATTTTTGTAACTTTAAAATTAAAAATCAGAAAAATTCAAGAACTAGTTTTTGTCTCCTCCGTGGACGTCCCCTCCGTGGACATAACAAGTCCACGGAGGAGAAGACACAGTCAATGTAAGAGACAATGTGTTAGATAACCATAATACAATTTTAATAATTAAAAAACTATTTTCTTTTAATTGATATTTTTTAAAATGGAACAAATGTGTTAATTTGTTTCTATTTTTAAAGAAAATCAATTAAGTTTAACTTTTTCTTATCGGAGAAGTAAATATTGGCAATTTTTCTAAATAATTTCTGTGATGTTTAACATTTTTTTTCTCTTCAAATTTTAGGAAAAAAATGGCAAAACCAAAATGTAAAAAAAGAAAGCAATCAAATGTTCAAATGCAAAAGAGAAGGGAACAGAAAAAACTTAGTATGAGACAAGCTAGACAGAAATTAAAAGAAAACCCTATATTGTTTGAAGAAAGTAAAAAAAAAAAAAAAAAGCAAGAAACTTTAAAATCTGTATCAGAAAGAGATTTAACAGAATAATCGTGATTAAATGTACTTAAATTTCTAGAAATTGATAGAGCAAGCCGTTTGTGCCCAGGGAAAAAAGAAACAATAACAAGAAGAAAAGAGAAAAAACAAAAACGTTATTTGGATGACAGTATGTTTAACTTGCATAAAATGTTCATAAAACAGTACCCTCAACACTCAACTTTCATGTGGAGTCTGAATTTTTATTTCAATAGTCTTTACAATTTAATTTATTAATATTCAGTAAGAGTTACTTAAAAAATTGTACAACTAGGTAAAAAATGGATGTTTCCTTTCATAGCAGCATGATTAATCGGAAGTAGCTCCATCTCTAATAATGAAATATTTTATTACTTACTTATTAATGTTAAACTCATATCAGTTGTACCCAATAGTTAATGAATTAGTCTTCATTAACATTTTATATTTTATAACATAAAATGTCTCCTCCGTTGACTATAACATCTCCTCCATGAACAAGGCAGAACTGCCATGAACAAGGCAGAACAAGGCAGGCTCCATGAACAGGCACTTTTGGTTCATCATCCGTAAAATCCATTTTGCCGTTTTACAGAAATTATTCATAGTTTACAGTGATTTTATGATAATAATTACTGTAAAAATTATGGTACATCAAATCCTTAAAATATACCTATAAAAATGGATTTTACGATAAAAAGTACAGACAGAACTTTTACAAAACAAACAATGCGGAAAAAAGACTATTTATACGTGTGTAATCCATTTATATTACTTTTAAACAGAATCTAAATATACTCCGCATTTTTGCAATCACAGTATTATATTCATGTTGACCTAAACACTGCATTTTGTAATTTAAGTGGATCACTGACCAAAAATTCTTTGTGCACACCTGTTATGATGCTCACTTTATTTTATTTTTTTATTTTACTCTCTGTTTTTCCCTTTATAGGTATATACAACTGAACTGATTTCAAAACTTGCTGCAATTTTGTAATAAATTAATGTATTTCAAAAATCAATATCAATAGACAAATCAGTTTATCAATATACTACACTTGCTAACGAAGAAATTAAATGCCGTATTATTGAAATGCAAAATTAAAAATCGCATCAGAAATGAAATTTATGCTATATTCAGTATTATAACTCATCCGTAGGGCAGATGGAATGTTTGTAATTGTCTGGAAGGCCACCTTTTCACGATCACATTGTAGGCTGGAGCCAAAATATAAGTTTTACTTTATGTTTTCTAAAAAAAAAAAAAAAAAAAAAAAAAAAAAAAAAAAAAAAAAAAAAAAAAAAAAAAAAAAAAAAAANTAAGCAAACGGAAGTGCAATTTACTGTGAAATTATTTTATCGCTTATTTATTAATGTTACTTCTGTACATATTTTAGTTTTTAGCTTTTGAAGCAGGTTATTTATTAAAAAGATTGTATTTTATATAATATCCAGCAAATCGCAGAAGCAGTAATCAAGACGCATGGAAACATTTGATTCGGCTATGTCATAGACACGACAAGGAAGGATTGTACTTTATTGTTCACAATATTTGTGAACAGATTTAAAAATATATAAATTCCAAAAAAAAACAAAAAACTTCCTTTAATCAGAGTATAGCCCGTTCTTGAAAATTTAAATTTGCCCTTATTATTTTGGTTACTTTTATTTTCCAAAAAATGCATAAAATTATTAAAAACTGATTAAAATCTACTTCCTATGTAATTCCTAAGATTAATGCTGAGTATGTTTAATCACTAAACTGGTTTAAACCATGTTTATTAGTAAGGCTAGGTAATTATAAACACGAATCTTGTCAAAACGAATTTCTGATAGCAATATAATTCAAAGTGCAAATGTTTTTGTTAAACCACAATTCTAAAGAAGAAATCTTTTTAATTTTGTAGACGAAAATTGCTTGTGTATTTAACGATGAAGTCATAGGAGTTTCTTAAGCTTTTTTCCCCTTCATAATCTTTGTGTTTTCTTAAATCCTACGCTTTCAAAAAGTCATTCACCGTAAATTATGATTCATTCAAATTTTTAGAGGATTTTAACAGATTGTCAAATGTATTCATTCAAATGCATTTAATCCTGTAAAACTTTTGCAATTCTTTTCGGCTTATCGATTTTTTTAAAAATTCTGGAGGACAATGCCCTTTTATCCACAAACACCAATTTTTTTATTTCTTATATAGCATGTGCTGTTTTTCTTTTCTTGATATCACATGGATGGCTAACTTTGCAACGAAACGTGAACAAAAATTCTGAAGAAGATAAATGACACTCAAATATTCCTTCGTACACTTAAAATTTGTTTGTACACCTGGAAAAATTTGCCGTGTTTCTGTCTCTTTGGAAACTCCAAAGAGCTTTGTTAATGATTTTGGTAAAATTAACAGTATATAATTAACTATTCGAGGACTTGATAATATGTGATATAATAAGTGACAAAATTCGGTAAACGTGTTTAAAAATCTTAATTTTATCATGATTCCTTAGAGCATGGTATAAAAACCATTCAGTCAAATTTAGTTTAAGAGTTATGTACTTTTTACTAAATGTGTGATAAACTATGATTTTGAAAACCATAGCTTTCGGTAAACCGTTTCTATAACAGAACAAACTATCAAATGATTGGTTTAAATACCGTATTCAGCTTTTGCTCCTAGAATTATAGTTTTTCTTACCGGAAATGTTATTACCACTCAGTACGGTAATTTTACAAATTTGTTTCTCTCAGTGTAAGAGTTTATTTTCCCAAAATATATTGAGACAAATAAAATTTGAAAGCTTTTTTTATGTGTTAAAAAAATGTAAAACTTATAAGCATAAGCAGCCGAAAAAGGCCGCAATTTTACTTTAACAAACGAGAAGATTTATCTTACTTCCATGAATTATGCAAGGTTAGGGATTTACGCATATGCTCTAAAAACGATGATACGTGTCTAAAATAACTCAATTAATAGGAATCAATAACAGCGTGGTAAACAATAAAACAATAACTCCACTAAGATAATGTTGATTCATAGTCAAATTTCATTTTCCTCTTTTATAAATTTATTGAAGACATAATAAAGCTTCTATTACAGAAATATAGCAAAAATAAACTAACTTTTATATTTATTAATTTTTTCCCTTATAATTATAATTAATGAATAATTATATTACACATACTGCAAAACTTTCGTAAAACTGAGTACCGTATTGCCGTTGTCTTGAACCTTAATAAGGTGTAAGTTTGCTACATACTTAATAAGGTGTCAAATTTGAACTACGTTTCCAATCAAGTTGAATTGTATCTCGTAATTAAGTTTGAGAGTGTCATAAAAGGGTTAAACTTCGAACGATATGAAGGAAGTAGGAAGTCTCAATGATGATTCGATACTCGAAAATTTTTTTAACAATGTATAGCACAATTCATTTGAAAAGAAAAATAACAATGATTAAAGACATATCAAAGATTCTATTAAAGAAATATAGCAAATTGAAAGAAACTTAGGATTTTTTAGTGATTTATATTCATGAATGTTTCTTCCCTATATTTATATTTAATGTATAATTATATTACACATACAGCTACATTTTCATAAAAATTAATATCATATTCTACAATAATAACGTTGTTTTATACCATAATAAAGTACAAATTTCCTATAATAAGGTGTCAAGTTTAACTGTGCTTCGATTCAAGTTGAATCGAAATTCAAGAGGTTAGTAGGTTCAACTTAGAACGATATGAAGGAAGTAGAAAGTCTCAACGATGGTTCGATGCTTGTCAAAATTTGTAACAATATATAACACGACTTATTAAAAAAAATAACATTTAAGAAAGCAGTTGTAAAGGATTAAGTAATATTTGAATTCAATGACACTTTTGTTAAAATTAAGCGAAATTCCATGTTTTTTAATTATGTACAGTTTCATATTTAGTCATAATTTTTCATTTTTAAGGAGAAGCAACTCAACTAATGCCAATAAAATATGATAAAATTCCATGCAAGATAATTCTTGTACAATTGCTTGTAATTGTTATTTTACTCATAATTTTGCAAGATAATTCACTGTTACAAAATACGACTCATATCTTCTTTACAATACCTCATTCATTTATTTTTTCTCTACAAAATTCATTTAAAAAAAGGCAATATGATTAGAAAATTTCGATTAAGTTATAAATTTGTGAGAAAATTGAATAAGAATACTTATTATGAAGGTTGTATTTACCTAAATAGCTAAATAGTACTAAAGCTGAAAATATCATTTTAGTCTATGGTACATGTGGTGACTGTTATGAGCTATACCTGAAAATAAGAAATTTCCTTATTAAAAACACTGAAAATAATAAAATGTGTTATAATGAATAATATAATTCAAACAATAATGCTGGTAACAAAAGGAGGAATTTTAAAAAACTTCTTTATGATTCATTAAACAAACTATTTAATTTATTTCTGATTTTATTCTTTCAAATTGTAAAAACTGTACGGTAGAAAGGTGTCTAATATGCGATAATTTTCAAACATTTGAAACAATTTTGAAACAATTTTTGAGACAGTTTTGAAACAATTTTGAGTAGCAAAAATATTTTTAATCATTTTATAATGCATACAAGACATGATTATTCATTACGTTCAATCATTTATACACTGAGAGAAAAGAATGGACAAAAATAACAGAATATGGTAAAATTTGTCGTGTCTCTATGGCTCTATGGAAACACCAAAAATCTTAAGCGGTAATTTTTGATAAAGCGCTTTCATAATAATTTTGGTAAAACTTACAGTTAAAATATGGTATTCAAATATGTGATAAGATTTGGAAAATATGGTAAAATAAAGCAATATTATCATAATACATTACTGCATGGCATAAAAACCATTTACTTGGTTTAATTTACTTTTCAATATTTTTTGTTGTTGCTAAGTGTGGGTTAATAGGAGCTATCATTTTGATAGCCAGAATTTCAGGTTAACCATTAGCATATGAATGTAAAAATTGCCAATTCAATAGTTTAAATACCGAATATTTTGTTTTTATTAACCAAAATCGTTATGATGTTTCTTTATTTATCTTTTTTTTTTCTTAATTTTTTTACCCGAAACGTTATTACTATACAGTATGGTATTTTTATAAGAATTTTTTTCGTCGTATGACACATCACGTTTAAAGTGTCTATTAAAGTCACATGAAAATCATCAATAAACTTTCGCTTTTGCATGGATAATGACATTAATAAGCACTGAATAAATAAATAATTCCATGATAAATGAAAACGCATTTTTAAAACTTGATGAACACATGACTACTAAAATTAATTTTGCAACACTGACAGTAATGCTGCAAAATTGTATTTTTACCAGATATTACACTGTTTTAAAATAAAAAAAAAGAAACTGCACGCATGAATGCTAAAAACGTAGTTTAAAAGAAAAGTATTTCTGCATCTATACAAGTTTAGAAGCATTTTTATAATTTGCAAGACAGAAATAAAAGATATGCTCTCTTTTGAAAATTTTATATTTTTTTGATGACAGGCATTTGTTCTACTCAGCGGTTTGTTTCAGTTTTTTTTATCTGCGCTTTAGTCCAACTACAAACCTTGAACCAGAAAACGTGAGTAATCCTTGAAACCAGTATGAAGAGAAAATGTTATTAAGGGTGAAATTCCGAAACTAAAATGAATGAATTCTTAAAGTTTATATATTTTTTTTAAAGAAGGAAATAATTGTTTTAAATTATAACGGTAAATGTCACTAGAAGCTCATGATTGAAAATGTTTTTAAAAATGTGGAGACTAATTGATTTTTTGCCGTTGTACTATTTAATAAATTTACAAAAACTGCTCCCCCATACTTTAAATTTTTTTCAAGCTTTGGAAAATTAATTTTCTAAATTTCGATGTAACTGAATACGCTTTAAGTTTAGTTTAGTTTAGAATATGCTTTAATATTGTTTTTTTTCATGTAAAAATGTGTTTGGAGTATGAATAGATGCCCATATAAAGCTAAGCACAGGTAGTTCAAGGGGTTAAAATTCGTTTCTACTTCCGATTTATTTTTTAGCCTAAGCTAGAAAAAAGCAGCCATCCAATATTATGCTATTACAAACAAATTCAAAAACTCCACTATCAGGCTATGATGCTACCCAAAAAATAACAAATGGTGATATTTTACACAAATATAGCGAAAAAACGGATAAAACTCAAACATGGCAAACTTTACGGTTTTTCTATGTTTAGTAATTTCCTCAAATTTCTTTACGATTCACGACCTTTAAGAATTTGAAAATTACAGAAAATTTTTATGAAGGGTAAAATTACGCTTAAATTTAAACACAAATAACAGCAATAAAACTTCCTAGAATATCAAGCCTGTTCACACATTGTCACGTAAACATAACATAAGCGGAGGGATACACCGGAAGTTTTCTGCATTTCTTCCGGTTTTAAAAAGCTTCTTATTGTTTACATTCAGTCATCCATCCATAGCTTTCTGTTGTCCCTTTGCCATTGACTGTCGAATCTTACTAAATATGTTCCTGCGCTACAAGATCTTCGTTCATGATTAATAATTTAAAACCTTATTGGATTAAAATTCTAAGTTATATTATATACGTGACGTAGATAATCAGAAATTAAGATTATGATTTTGGACTTGGATCCTTCCTTAATTCAAAAAATATCCAAAGACTGCCCTTTGTATCTTTATTCACTAAGACCTGCGAAATTTTAATACTTTACAATACAAATTAATCTTTCACACATAATGAAGACTAAAATAAGATCTGTCTCCAAGAAATTTAAATTTTTCAAAATTTTATTTAGAACCTTTCTTCAATTATAATCACACGGAATTCGATTTGATGCTTTGTGAAACTGCCAAGTTGATTTTTATTTATTTATTTCCAGCTAATATAAAAGGTGAGAACTAAAAATTAAAAAGTCAAGCAGCAGTTTATGTCTGCGAAAAATGCGAAACCACCAATGATATATCTTGCGTTATTGCCTCTATTGTTTTCGGTTGCTTGAATTAATGCATTGTTTTATATCGTTTAACAAAGGCAATTTACTCTTAAGGAAAGGTTTAAGTCTTCCGTTTTCACCGCTGCTTATTCAATGCAAGGAGGGCATTCTTTTCTTATTTCAAGAAGAATTTTAGAACTGGTCTCATTATGTGGTGAACTATAAATCTTTAAACTGCCTTAAAAAAGGTAATTTAATTGTTCTTTTAAAGAAAAAAAAAACAGTATTTATTTTTACACTTACACACAATTTCACTCAACGTAAAGGAAAATTTAATTTTTCAATAAAAAGTTAAAAGAAGATTATCTTAATTAGTTAATGTATAACGGCATGTATAATGCTATGTATGACTGCATGGTATCTACAATGATATATCTGAAGGCGTGGCATGTATAATGTGCATGTATGTATAATATGTATGGCATGTATAATGTTATCAATTACAAACAGACGTTTCTCTGCTTATCTTTCTTTTTACATTACATGATGCTTTTAAAATACAATAATTCCTATTTTAAAAAGCTAGGAAGCTTTTAATTGGCTTTCAGTAGTTTTTTTTAAAATTTTTATATATTTTTTTTGCATGAAACAAATTTTTTATGTTTCAAATCGTACTCTTATTTATATGTTTTTGTGCGTTAAGAAAAACTCTTAGTTAATTTCTTCACAGACACTAATTCTTTATAATCAATTATTAATATCCCCTGACAATATCCCCCAATTCAAATTCATCAAAAGATTGTTAAAAATTATTCAGTTATTAACTTGACAAAACACTGAAAAATAGAAGTAGTTACGTACCAATAAATATGTAGGATGACGTTACAGTTAGGGAAAAGAAATTAATCCTCTTACGTAAAAAATTTATGATCCTTATATTGACTCTCAAATAGGCTTCTAAAATAGTATTTATGTAAAGTATCAATCAAGGAAAAAATAAAATTATTTTTATCGAGTTTTATAAGAATCTGCATCGTAACATAGTACAGAGAGCAAAATAAAAAAACTGACCATCCTGAATAACTTTCGATCTAATGATAGGATCTTTACGTTCTAGAACTCACTTTTAATGATTCGAGGGTGTAACCTCAAATATGCTAATCAGTTAGTGCAGACGATATTTTAAGTTGTGGAATCAGACACAAAAACGTACTTTCTCTGAATAAATATGCCTTTGTTTCTACGAATTTGGATATCTCACTCCCAGCTACAATCTTTGTCCTTTTAGTTTGGTCAGGAGATCTGAATAAAGTTTGGGTCCCTTAATGTTAACTATCGATATGCATCTGATTTGATGAAAGAAATTTTCAGTTTTAAACAAATAATAGGATCAAAAACTCGAAGACCAATTGTTTTTTTTTATGAGACGAATCGAAAAATACAGTATCTATAGATTACAGTTTCATAATCTATTGTATTGAGAAGTTTTTTTTAAGAGTAATTAATGCATATACTTTTTAACATATTGATTTTTATTTTAAAAGCGTTTTATACTTGAATCTAAATATGCAAAGAAAAAAAAATAATTAGTAAATTTTTAATTATGTTGCAAGTTTGAATCATATAGTACAGTGATACATCACTTAAAATTTATGTCCATAACTTTTATATTTTTGTATTAATTGAAAATGTTTTATTGAAATTTTTTTTGTTTGTTTTTCATCATTTATGATAAAATGATAAAGTGTCAAATTTAAATAATTGATAACATGTTTGTTTAAATTTTAATTTTCAAATTATAATATAAAGGAGTAATTATTTATTATATTAACAAATAATTTTTTTCCAACAAATAGTACTAAAATTTCAATTTCTGGAAATGGATGTTTAGTTTTAATAACAACATCGACATAACCAACAACAAATTTAGTGCAAAATTAATATTTTTAGTGATATTAAGGCGTAAAGATTTTTATTCATTTTATGTAAATGATTAAATGCTAAAATTAAGTTTAAGAAAACCTGGTTAGATTTTTTAGAAATAATAATATATGGTTGTATCTTAAGCAAAAAAAAACAAAAAAACAAAAAAAACAACAACAATTTTTTTAATTTATGGAAAGTATTTTAGCAACAAAGTATTTAGAAAATATTTCAGAATCAAAGTATTTTAAATTTTTTAACTTCAGAGCACTCTGCTATTTAATTTTTATTTAAAAGGTAATTTAAAATTTGGAAAATAACAAAGTTTGTATTTTGTACAAAATTTCTTTTTCAATGAATGCTAAATAAATGCAATGAAGTCAATTCATTCTCATAAATGTCTAAACGATTTTCATGGGTGGTAAATTATGTTATAATTTAAATAATTGATTTATTTTTGTCATTTAATGGCANACAAAGTATTTTTTAGAAAGTATTTCAGAATCAAAGTATTTTAAATTTTTTAACTTCAGAGCACTCTGCTCTTTAATTTTTATTTAGAAGGTAATTTAAAATTTGGAACTTTGTATTTTGTACATAATTTCTTTTACAATGAATGCTAAATAAATGCAATGAAGTCAATTCATTCTCATAAATGTCTAAACGATTTTCATGGGTGGTAAATTATGTTATAATTTAAATAATTGATTTATTTTTGTCATTTAATGGAAATATATTTGACATTTTTAAATGAAACTACTATTGATGACTTTATTACAGTTGACATTGACATTATTTAATGAAAACATTATGAACATTATTTAATGGAAACATATTTAACAAGGGTAAATTATGTTATTTTTAAAAAAATTTATTTTCTCAGTTAATGGAAATATATTTGACATTATTTTGTGGAAACAATATTAATAACATTATTACAATTGACATTATTTAATGAAAAAATATTTGACGCAGGCAAATTATATTATTATTTAAATAATTATTTTTTTTTCTCATTTAATGGAAACTATTTGATTATTATTAATTTTACAAAAATGGAATTGTTTATATATTTTTCTGATTCAATGAAAATATAGTTTCTAATCTTTCTTAAAATAAATGTATAAACAGTTCTTCAAAACAGATGAAGTTTATAGCGTTTATTTATTTTCCTTTAAATGCAAACGTATTTTTATCTAATAAAAGAAATTTATAAGTAACTTTACATTATATTAAGCTTATCTACATTCATACAAATTAACTATATCGTCATTTGTTTTGAACTTTCCTAATAATAATGACTACATATTATTTTTAGGTTGCACAAGTTTTATGTACTAAGCTTTGCAGTGATTTCTTAAAAATGTGTAAGCATTCATAATCTTTTACACTTTATGAACAAAAATTGGGATTATTTATTAAAAGACATTGAAGCAACGAATCAAAACACTACTTTTGTTTTACCAGTCTTGTTAAAAGCAAACGCCCAAAAATAGATTTATACTCACCCACTTATCGGGATTTTCTCAGTTTTCTATTCTGTATAATAAACAGCAAACTTAATAAATAATTAGTATCATAACGATTTCACAAACTATTAATCCAAATGTTGTGGCTAGGTTTCAACTACCATTGAAAGACCAGTATTGGTTTTAGTGTATATTGTTCTAAAATGACAACAACAGGTTCATCTTCTTTCAAGAACAAACACACCTGAAGGCGGTATTCTTGAGATCTCACAAAGACGTGGCCTCTTCCGACTACGGCATGAAAGAAACTGTAGAACCGGTTTTTCGAAGTTCCTCCATTCTTTCGGTTATGGCTTACCTGTTGGCCTGTTTTTAAGGTGAGGGTAGGGATAGGAAGGAAGAGGGGAAGAATACTCGGGACTAAAGGGTCCTGACAGACGCTTTTATAAATATTTGATGAGCAACTACTCCGTTAGACTAAATCACAAAATTTTGTTTAATAGAACAGTTTGATTATTGTGTTAAATTTTTTTTTAAAAATTTCCTTTTTAAAATGGTGAAATACCAGATTAGTATAATCTATATACTGTTCTTCCTTATTATTAAAACCATATTTTCCATATTAAGGCTACTCTGCCCTCTCCCGAAAAAAAAAAAGGAAAAGAAATACCAGGTCAAAAAACATAATCATAAATAAAAAAAGGCCATCAGACATAATGAGTTTTAATGTGCCAGATTTCGTACCGTTAAATATGGTGTGCACTTTATTAATTAATACATTAAAGACCTATTTTTCATTTCTCGAACCAGTTGTTGTTGACGCGCCATTAAGGCAGAGGGGGTGCGATTGTTTTTGTTTTTCAGTGGCGCCATCTATGGCCAAGAATTCGATTTCTGCCACACCATACGTCGCACCCGTTTACAGGGTAGACCCATTCATATATCCATTCATTCATCCACAGATCGTAATTTTTGACCATGAATCAGATAACGATCAATCTCCAATTCAGTACCCACAGAGGTATTGATTTGTTATGGGAACATGAATGACTTTGAGACTCGACAGATTTAACGTGCATCAGTTACCATTTACTACACGGGGAGTCTTCGGTCGCCAGGGATCGAACCCATGACCACTTGGCCATGGGCCCAGTGCCCTACCAACCAGGCTATCCCGGCCCTCTCGGACCAGTATAAAATATGATCCTAGGGCTGGGATAGCCAGGTTGGTAGGGCATTAAGCCCATGTTCAAGAGCTCGTGGGTTCGATCATAGACAGGCCGAAGACTCCCCGTGTTGTAAATGGTGACTGATGCATGTTAAATCTGTGGACTCTCAAAGTCGTCCATGTTCCCATAACAAATCAATACCTCTGGGGGTACTGAATTGGAGATTGAATTATTCTCAATACTTGATCCAGGAGTTTCCTTGTCTTCTGGATTGGTTCAAAATTACAAGGCTACGGAGTTCAATATTAGTAGTCGCAAACCCAAAATTGGGTCGGCTGTTCAACGTCGGTTATAAAATATGATCCTCTTTAAGACGATAGCATCTGCTAAGTCAATGAAAATATTCCATCTTTTAAATGTTTCTGAATGAAATATTTATTTAAAAATTCGAAAATCGGGCTTCGTAATTTATTCACAATCGTACTAATTTAGCTTCATGTTGAATGACGTCATCTTAGAGCCTACGGTTTACCCACAATGCAATCCGATATACAGACACACAAACACGCACACATGCATAAATTCTTTATTCTATTATAAGTATAGATTAATTTTTTAATGATAGTCGAAATTATTTTGAATTGTAAGGTTTAGGATTTTTATATCATATTAAATTATCTAATTTAACATGGCAAAATGCAAAATTCGAGTGAAATCGGTCGCATAGTTCTTGAGAAAATCAAATTTTAACTATATGACTTTTTAAAAGTTTGATTACTCTGGATTTATTCGACCACTTTAGCTCAAACTTAGTATTTCGTCACGTAAAATTACATTCTATAAAATGATTTTAAAAAAATTAGATACTCAACAATTTGAAATGTTTTCGGGTATTATTAAATAGAATAATAAAAAGCAATAAATATCTAATCAAAGTTATTTTTTGCATGAAATTATCTTTGGATTAGCGAATTTTATAATTGTGTGCAAAAAATTTTCGATTTGCTTAAAAAGTTCTCGAGATATGGTGAAATAGGAAAAAAGTAAAACTAGCATTAAGGGGTCAAAACTTTGGATCGCACTTCTGACTTAACTATGGGGACTATATTTTCCAGATTTGCGGGTACCTCCTATATTTTGGGGGTCTAAAATATCTGAACCCATCGAAAAAAAAAATGGTTTATTTATTACGAGAAAGTACGTTTTTGAATCTGATTTCGTAACTTAAAATATCGACTGCACTAATTAATTAGCACATTTAAGGTCACCTCTTCGAATGATTCAGATCGGGTTCTAGAGTGTTAAGATCAAGTGATTAGATCAAAAGCTATTTATAGAGGTTAGTTGTTTTCTTTTTGCGTGCTGTAATATTTTTCAAGTAAAATAGAAATAAGCAGTAATTATAAAATTTTTGAGATGAGGGCGTTTTTGTGAAAAGTATTGTGCATATTAAGTTATCATTTTTTTAAAATTTTTTGAGAAAAAGGGTTTCTCTTGGTATCGAAATATATTTGCGCAACGGAAAACTTTATTTATGGGGAGATAAATAGCTTTAATTTGTGCTACACTTTAAAAAGATGACGCACTGAAATTCTTTTTCTAAAAATATCTCTAAAAAATATTTTTTTAAAAAGAAAATGTGTTTTATTTTGCAGTGGTAAAAAGGAAAAGTCTTACTGAAAGTATTTACACCACTTAGAGCTTTCTAATATTTTTATATACATAATTCTCATTCGTGTCACTGATAAAAATTAGAGACCCTGAATAGAGCAGTATAGGAGCCTTAATTAAAATGGATCCCTATACTTTGTTTCTGAATTGTAAATTTTAATGACAGTAACAGTAAAAAATAAACATGTTTTTTTCTTCTTCCTATAAGCAGCGATCAAAAATGTGAGCGAAAAATTATCAATTACGAAATATCTTAAATGCTCACCGGATCTTTTAATTTTTTTTGTGAAAAATAATTCTTATTTACTTCGCTCCTTCAAAAAAAATATGTCCCACTTAACTCCTGATTTGAAAAGTTGCCTAAAATATCAGTAAAAAAATAAAATAGTTAATTTTTTTTTTTAATAACCGTCGTTGAACAGCAGACCTAATTTTTGGGTTTACGACTACTAATGTTCAACTCCGTAGCCTTGTCATCCTGGATCAAGTACTGTGAGAAATTTGCCTTCGTGGAGGACTTTTTGATGGAACTAACCTGCATTTACGTTACATGGAGAGGAAGACCACGAGAGCATCCCACGGTTAGCCTAATGACAATGGGACTCTAACCCATGATCCGTTTACCACTGAGGATATTTCACGTCAGCACTGTATACGGTGTAAGCCGGATGCGGCATCCGTATCGACCAGTCATCACCGGGATCGAACCCCGGTTCTCCTCATTGGAAGGCGAACGCTCTATCCCCTGAGCTATTGCAGCTCAAAAAGTTCATTTGTAAAAAAGTGTCCGAATATGTAATTATAGAAGGGACAATTCCCTTCTCTTTTTATTTCCTCTTGTTCACTTTTTAAAATGGCGCCGTAAACTTTACTTCAGAGATTTAAATTTTTATAAAAGTAGTGGCCTATTTTCCTGTGAAAAAGGATCATAATATATCGGGGTACAATAGACAGCTAAGAAATTTATTAAATCTTTAAATATAGTGCTGTTTCTTCTGAGACGTACAGTGCATAATAAATAAATAAGCCAAACACTCTGAATAACTTTCGATGTAATGATTGGATTTTCACGTACTAGAACTTTATCTTAATGGTTCATGAGAGTGAGCTCTATTATACTACTTAGTAGATAAAATATTTTAAGTTAAGAAATCATTCATAAAAACATACTTTCCTGAATAAGCATGCCTTTTATACCCGACGGATTACGATTTCCGACTCCCAAAAAATAATGGAGGCAGCAATTTAGAAAATATGGTAACAATAGTATGGTCAGGAGAGCTATCCAAAGTTTGAACCCTTTAATGTCATTTTTACCTTTTGCTTATTTTCTCCACTAAAAAATTTCCTCGAAGAAATTTCCATACCTCGAGAAAATTAAAAGGGAAAATTTTTGAACACACTTATAAATATCGTTTATCCAATGGTTATCCCATGCAAATAATAAATTTTAATTGCTATTTAATATTTTTTATTATTTTGTTTATTAATAGTCAAAAACATTTAGAAATGTCAGGTACACAAATTTTTATGTCATTTAAAAATGCGATTTTGTATGACAAAATACAAAATTTGAACGAAATCTATTGAATTGCTCCTGAGAAATTGAATTTTAAATATCTAACCTCTTTAAAATTAGATTTTCCGGAAACTATTCGGCTGGTTTCTTACAAATTTTGTATTTTGCTGTATTAAATTACAGTCTTTAAAATGATGTAGAAATTTGTACATTGAATTTCAATTTTTTCCGACTATTATTGAATAAAATAATAAATAGTAAGAAATAAATATTAAAATAATTTTTTGTGTGAAATAATCTTTGACTAAATCAAATTTAAAATAGTGTGCAAAAGTGTTTTAATTTTGCTTAAGAAATTCTCGTGATATGAGAATGTACGCAAAAAGTAAAATTAACATTAAAATTAACATTCCACACTTAAGATCCATTCTCTTGATCAAACTAGTGGGACAATATTTCCCAGATTTTGGATACCTCCTATATTTTGGGGGTAAGTTTATTCAGAGAAAGTACATTTTTGTGAGTGATTTCACAACTCAAAATATCGTCTGCGCTAATGAATTGGCATATTTGAGGTCACCCCTTCGGACCATTAAAATCGAGTCCTTGAAAATGAAAATCCGATCAATTGATCAAACAATATTTAGGGTATTTCTTTTACTTTTTGCGCATTGTACGTTCCTTAAACAGTACTATTCAAAAATCAGCATATTCTTTTATGAAAAATTTTCCGAATATGTGGTAATACAATGGACAATTACGTAAAAGAATTAATAAAAATTAATGTAATCCTGAAAACGTCAATTTTTTGAGATTTTTCTAAAAATAGCAATAAAAAGAGGATTGTATTTTTAAAGTTAAAACATTTGGAATAAACAATTTTCATAACATTTTCAAACATTTGGAATAAACATTTGGAATAAACAATTTTCCTTCGTATTCTAGAGAATGGCATTGTAAACTTCGCTT